AAAACAAAACAAAACACGCCCTGGCTGGTTTGGCTCAGCGGTTAGAGTGTTGACCTGCGGTCCAGAGAGACCTGGGTTCAGTTGCCACTAAGGGCACGTGCCTCGGGTGTGGTTTGTCCCCGGCCCTGATTGGGTAGTGTGGGTGGCAACCACTCAATGTGTTCCTTTCACATGGATGTTTCTCTCTCTTCCTCCCACTCTATGTGAACAAAAAATGAAAAAATGCCTCAGGTGAGGATAAAAAAACAAAACAAAACAAAACAGCAGATGCACAAAATTTGGATTTCCCTTTTTCTTCCCGAAAACAAGAGATAAATACTCCCCTGTGAAAGATGCCCTCCCTGTACCAGGAGAAAAGAAACATTATTCAAGAATCAAAGCCAAGAGAATTCTGTACAAACACAATCTGTTTTTAAAAAATCTTATTTTCCTTTAGCCTCCCCACGTAGTTTAGTTACCTTTCCATAGTTGCCTCTCTTTGTTCAACCTACTATAAAAGCATGTATGCTCCACTGTTTCTGGGGGTCTGCATTTCCTTATAAGGGTTCCATGTCATGTAAAACTTTATAAATATGTACGCTTTTCTCCTGTTAATCTATGTCAGTTTAATTTTCAGGCCCAGCCAAAAACCCCAAAAGGCCCAGCTCTACAGATTTTGTAGAACCTCCCCTACGATACCTGGCTCTCCCACTCAGGGCCCTCATCTGTGCAGCTCCCTCTACCTGGAATGGGCTTCTCTCGCCACCAACACACTCACACTTTTGCCTGCGGTCCTAGTCATTCCTCAGCTCTTCCTCTACCAGGTCACTTCCTCTACCAGGAGGTCATTGCTGACCTTCGACACCAGGTTCCTCCTGGTGCACTCTATACCTCCTTGTCCTTTTTGTCCGTGTTCTCATCACAAATAGTAATTATTTGTTAAATGTTTGTCTTCTCTGTTAGACTGCAGGGTTTGAGAGGACAGAAACTGAGTCTGCCTGGTCTCTGGAATCACAGTGTTTAGTACAGAGACCAGCATGTGTTAAATACATAATTTAATTGTACAGGTGACTGAATAAAAAGATCCTAGATTGAGCTTTCAGGAAGTTTGACATTAAAAAATTGGGCCTAGCCAGTGTGGCTCAGTGGTTGAGTGTTGGCCCACGCACCAAGAGGTTGATGGTTTGATTCCTGGTCAGGGCACATGCCCAGGTTGTGGGCCAAATCCTCAGTGCGGGGTATGCAGGAGGTGGCCAATTGATGTTCTTTCTCATCGATGTTTCTATCTCTCTTTCCCTCTCCCTTCCTCTCTCTCTCTCTAAAAATCAATAAAGAAAAAAAAAATTTTTTTTAATAAAAAATTGGGTAGGCCCTGGCCAGTTTGGCTCAGCAGTTGAAGTGTCGGTCTACGGACTGGAGAGTCCCAGGTTTGGTTCCCGCTGAGGGCATGTGCCTCAGTTGCAGTTTGTCCTAGCCCCCGTTGGGGTCGTGTGAGTGGCAATCACTCGATGTGTTTCTCTTGCATCGATGTTTCTCTCTCTCTCTTCCTTCCTCTCTCCTTCCTGCTCTGTCTGAAGATAAATGCAAAAAAAAAAAAAAAATTTGGGTAGTCCACCTGCCTGATGTGGCTTGGTGGATTGAATGTCATCTCATGGACTGAGAGGTCCCAGTTCAATTCCCAGTCAGGGCACATGCCCGGGTTGGGGCTTGATACCCGGTAGGAGGTGTGCATGAAGCAGCCTATAGACATTTCTCTCTCACATCGATGTTTTTATCTCTCCCTCTCCCTTTCTCTCTCTCTAAAAAATCAATAAAAACATATTTTTTAAAAAAACTGGGTAGTCTAGCCCGGCCAGTGTGGCTCAGTGGTTGAGTGTCAGGCCCATGCACCAAGAGGTCGCCAGTTCGATTCCCCGTCAGGGCACGTGCCCAGGTTGTGGGCCCGAACCCCAGTGAGGGGCATGCAGGAGGTGGCCAATTGATGTTTTCTCTCATCGATGTTTCTATCTCTCTCTCCCTTCTTCTCTCTCTAAAATCAATAAAGAGTCCTGGCTGATTTCGCTCAGTGGTTAGAGCGTTGGCCCGCGGACCAGAGAGTCCTCTGTTCAGTTTCTGCTGAGGGCACGTACCTCGGATGCAGTTTGTCCCCGGCTTCGGTTGGGGTCATGTGGGTGGCAACCATTCTATGTGTCTCTCTCACGTCGATGTTCTCTCTCTCTCTTCCTTTCTCTCTCCCTCCTGCTTTATCTGAAGATAAATGCAAAAATGTCCTCGGGTGAGGATAAAAATAAATAAAATAAATAAATAATAAAATCAATAAAAAAAAACTTGGGTGATCCATTATCTATAGTATTTTTCCCACCACACCTCATTCCTCAAATGAAATTTTTACTTAGCCTCACCTGCTTAAATGCTTCCATCTGTGAACTGCCATCTGTAATCCTCTAAGTATTTTATGTACTCACCTTACTCAAGACTCGTATTTTAATTTACTTCTATTAGGTTATAAGCACTTTATGGATTAGGACTGTTACATAAGTTATAACTCCCACAATTTTGTATATATTACAATTGTTCAATAGATATATAGAGTTTCTTTTTTCATCGCCAACACTTGGTTTTTATTTTCAGATTTTTTTAGTTTTAGTCATTGTACTGGGTGCGTAATCATATCTCATTATGCTTTTTTTAAACTCTCACTTTTTTTTTTTTATCCTCACCCGAGGACATTTTTTCATTTTTTTGTTCAGATAGAGTAGGAGGGAGAGAGAAGAAGAGAGAGAGAAATATCGACGTGAAAGGGACACATCGAGTGGCTGCCACCCACACTACCCAACCAGGGCCGGGGACAACCTGCAACCGAGGTACATGCCCTTAGCAGGAACTGAACCCAGGTCTCTCCGGACCGCAGGCCAATGCTCTAACCGCTGAGCCAAACCGGCCGGGGCAAACTCTCACTTATTTGATACTAATAAAATTAAGCATCTTTTCATATGCTTATTGGCCATTTGTATATCTTTTGTGGAGTTCCCTTCATAAGAGTTGGGCTTTTTTCTTTTAGAGAGAGAGAGAGGAAGGGGGAGAGAGATAGAAACATCGATGTGAGAGAGAAACATCCATAGGCTGCCTCCTGCATGCCCCCTACTGAGAATGGAGCCTGCAACCCAGGCATGTGCCCTGACCAGGAATCGAACTAGGACCTCTCAGTCCATGGGATGACGCTCAATCCACCGAACCACACTGGTCAGGCAATAGTTGGGCTTTTTAAAAATTGAGGTATAATTGACATACAACATTATATTAGTTTCAGGTGTACAGCAACATGACTCGACATTTGTTACATTGTGAAATAATCACCACAATAAGCCTAGTTAAGATCCACCACCACACATAGTTACACCTTTTTTTCCCTTGTTCTGAGAACTTTTAAGATCTACTTTCTTAGCAACTTTCAAATATACAATATTATTAACCAGTCACCATACTGTACATTACATCCCCAGGACTTATTATAGAATGTATTTAGTAAATGAGTTAAGAATTTTAAAGACTGTGTAGAAGAAAACTTAGATAAGTGCAGAATATCATCTGAGAGGAGGGAGGAGGCAGGAGAATGTGGGGCCACAAGGCAGGTGCATGGTATCATATATTAGTCAAAAGCCATCGAATGTCCTACACTAAGAGTTTCCCCTAATGTAAACCATGGATGTTGAATGACAATTACACATCAATGTAGGTTTGTCGACTGTAATAAATTAGGTACCACTCTGGTGCAAGATGTTGATAGTAGGGGAGACTGTGCATGTGTGGGGGGCAGGGGCCACATGGGAAATCTCTGTACTTTCTGCTCAGTTTTACTGTGAACCTCAAACTGCTGTCAAAAAGCAAAAACAATAAAAAACAAAACCTAAACCTATTAAAAAAAGAAACACCAAGGCAGAGAATATTCAAGGAAGAATGTACATATGGTCCAGAGTTGATTGTTGCTGAGGCTGGGACCAGGACAGAAATTTGTCCCTTGATTAATGATGAGGTTACCCTGGTCATTTTGGTGAGACCTGTTTCTGTTGAGTGATAGGAATGGGAACTAGACTGGAAAAGGTTTAACTGAATGGAAGACAAGAAAGCGATTTAATAAGTACTGAAAATCCCTTCAAGAAGCTTGGCTGTTGCTAGTGAAAAAACATCACACAGGTAGGGCAAACCTCTGCCAGAGGGCAGAACACAGGTGTTGTCAAGCCTCTGGGTTTAGTTAAGTCCCTATGACAGAGGAACCTGCTGACTTGCCATATGAGTACAACAATCCAAAAATCCAGACTTCAGGAAACCCTACAGGTCAAATACCCCAGGTTCCTTAATAAATAGCTTTTGAGGGAAAGGTGGGGCTAGAGGCAGAAACTGATTTTAACAAACTTTTAAAAGGCAACGCAAACCTTTTAAAATTAGCAAGCCTACACTGTAGTGTTTAGTGATGTACATGTAGGTGATAAAATTTTAAGAAATGCATGGAAGTGATGACTCTAAAAGTCAAGAGAGTTGTTACTTTTGATGCTGAGGAGGGAGCTGTGATGGAGTCAGAGCACATGAGGGGGTTCTGGGTGGTGGTTACAGGGGCGTTTGCTTATTGTAACTTATTAAACTCTAAAGGAGGAAGTCTGGCTGTAAAGGGCAGAATAACATAGAGCAGTAAAACCGAAGAGAGAGAGAGAGTGAGGGTGTGTGTGTGTGTGTGTGTGTGTGTGTGTGTGTGTGTGTGTGTGTAACAATGGCAGAAGCAGGCAGGCACTGCAGTGGTCATTCTTGTCCTTCTCCCCATGTTCTCCAAAGTTCACAAGCCCTTCCACTTCATCTGTGAGGCAGAAAGGGCAAGGGTTATTCTATTTAATAGTTTGGAAAACTGAGGTCTGGGCATGTGTGACTTTCCCAAGTCACAGTGCTGCTCAAGGGTAGAGGCTGCCCAGGCCCCCACCCAGGAGTGAGCAGGCCAGCTGACTCACCCAACGTTGCCTGGTCCCCTGCAGGAATCACTGAGATTCTCATGAACAGACCACATGCCCGCAACGCCCTGGGAAATGTCTTTGTCAATGAGGTGAGAACGGGTAAACACCAGGGTGGGTTGGGGCTGAGCTGGGAGGTATCTGATGGGGTCTCCTTTGCAGCTGCTGGAAGCTCTGGCCCAGCTGTGGAATGACAAGCAAGTGCGTGTCCTGCTCTTCAGAAGTGGAGTGAAGGGTGTGTTCTGTGCAGGTGGGTTTCCTCCCCTCCCTCTACCCCGGGGCTCAGCAGGGTTCCCACCAGCCTGCAGGTGTTGGTGGGGTGCTTAAGTAATCTCTAGCACAGGACTCAATATTCCCATTTTACAGATGTGAACTCAAGACTCAGAGGTAAAATTCCTTGCCCAGGGTTACATAGCTAGTAAGAGGTAGAATCTAATTCCATTTGAACTTGGCTTCTCTAACCCCCCAAATCTTTATTTTTTGGCTACACCATGCTGTGTTCTGACCCTTTACTGAGGAAATTAGGAAACTGAGTCAAAGATGTTCGCAAGGTCCGTGGCCCCGATGGGACTCTGTGCCCCTTTGCCCAGTCCCTATCACCAAACCTTTCCATTGTCCCTGCACCATGTGGTCCTCACAGCAAGGCAAGCAGTATTAACTGCTGTTTCAAAGCAGTACCACATTCCAGGCCCACAAGAAGCAAGTCAATGATAGCTGAGCTGAGCTAAGAACCAACGCTGGGATGGTTGGAGAGACGGTAATGAGGGTCACTGGGGAGGCGGGAAGTAGTTGTCGAGGGATAGAATGGGAGGAATAGAATTTCCAGGAGTTTCCAAGGGAATGTGGCTCAGTCCCTAGATCTGAGGCGTTGGGATCTTGGTGCCCAGCTTGGCATCTGCCCTGGCAGAACAAATATGCAGACCAGTCTGCCTGACCCGGCAGCCCTGGCTGAGGTCCTCATTCAAACCGGGCCTCTTCCTTTATCTCCCTTTCTGTTTGACCTCCTCTATCAAGGTCACTTCATGGCCCCGTTAGCCCACTCCTCACTATCCCAGATTAGCACAGAGAGGTAGACAGGCTAGCAGAGTCTGGGTCTGACTCCAACTTGCTCTGGAATCCTTGGCTAGTCCCTGCCCCTCCCTGGGCCTCAGTTTCCCCGTCTGCCGTAGAGAGGCTGGAACTAATCAAAGATTTCCAAGGGCTCTCCCAGCTCTGACTTGGTAGAGTCTAGGACTTGAAGAGACTGTGGTTTACTCTCTACTCCCACCTCAGCCTCCTACCATCTGGCCTTGGATGACCTCACCAGTCACTACTCTCACCAACACCCTTGCCCACCTCCATGCCACTGTATCCTATGTTCCCATCTCAGTTCTCTCTTCCTACTTGATCCCTCAGCCTCCTTGGATCCCACTGACCCCTCCCTCCTTTAAAAAAGTAATCAATATATAGTGAGCATGTCTGTTATGTCACAAAACTGGGGGAAATAAATAACATTTTATTTTATTATATAATTTAAAAATTGTGGTAAATATATACATTACACAAATTTACATTTTAACTACTTTTAAGTATAAAATTCTGTGGCATTAAGTACATTCACAAGGTTGTGCAACTATTATCACTGTTCCAGAAATGTGTCATCATCACACAAAAAAATCCAGTGCCCATTAAGCAATCCCTCCCCATTCCTGCTTTCCCCCATTCCTGGTAACTTCTGGTCTACTTTATGAATTTGCCAAAGGGGAGAGAACATGAGTGTTGTCAAGCCTCTGGGTTTGGTTGGTAAGTTCCTGTGACAGAGGAACCTGCTGACTTCTAGGTAATCACACATTTGTCCTCTTGTATCTGGCTTATTTTACTTAGCATAATGTCCTTAAGGTTCATCATGTTGCAGCATGAATCTAAACGTCATTTATTATTATGGCTGAATAATATTCCATTGCATATACACATATTTTGCTAATTCATCCATCTGTTGGTGGACACTAGATTGTTTACACCTTCTAGCTATTGTAAATAATGCTGTTATGAAACACTGGTGTGCGAGTGTGTGTTGAGTCCTTGCTTTCCATTCTTTTGGGTATACTTTTAGGAGAATAAGTGGATCGTAGTCATTTTATGTTTAACTTTTTTGAGAAACCACTAAAATGTTTTCCACAGCAGCTACATTATTTTACAATCCCACCAGCAGTGCATCAGGGTTCTCCACATCCACACTGGTTTTCTGTTTTTGTTCACAATAGCCATCCTAATGGGTGTGGAATGTTAACTCATTGTGGTTGGTTTTAGTTTGCATTTCCCTAATGACTAATGGTGTTGAGCATCTTTTCATGTGCTTATTGGCCATCTGTGTATCTTCTTTGGAGAAAAGTCTATTCAAGTCTTTGTCCTTTGTGGGGTTTTTTTTTGTTATTGAGTTGTAGGAGATCTTATTAATTCCTTATCAGATATGTGATTTGCCAATATTTTCTTCCATTCTGTGGCTGTCTTTCACTCCTTCATAGTGTCCTTTGACACACAAGTTTTTAATTTTGATGAAGTCCAATTTTTCTTTCTGTTGTGGCATCTCTCCTTTTTACTTGACCCTTCTACCCCTTTTCCTCCCTGGCTTCCTTGACCAATGCCTCCTGGTGTTTCTGCTTCCTCTCTGGCTGCTTCTCCTCAAGTCTCCTTTGCTGGATCCTTTAACAGCCTAGGACTCAGTAACGGGTTATTTTCCAAGGACTGCCACCAACCCATCTGCAGGTGCTGACCTGAAGGAGCGGGAGCAGATGAATGAGGCAGAGGTGGGAGTCTTTGTCCAGCGGCTCCGAGGCCTGATGAATGAAATTGGTGAGAGTCCTGGAATGGGGTGGAGGAGGGCATTCAGGGGCCCTGCTGATCCCAGCCACACCCACCCACCATCCTCCACTCTAAAGAGAGGACAGTTTCTGTTGTGAGCTCTGTGGAAAGACAAATGACTTTCCCAGGGAGGATGGGCACAAGGAATTCTACAAGGAGAAGGGTGACGAGAGTTTAGAGAGCATTTCCTTCACAGGGGGCTCTGGCTTCTCAGCCTTTGTGCCCTGTTAGTTTTGACCCCAACCTCCTACCCCATGACCTTGGGGTTCAAGCCTGGCTCTTCCAGAGGAGCCAAATTTCACCAAGCATGCTTTCAGGCTTTGACAATTGTTTTTCCTTTTGCCTAGAGTATCCCTCCTTGGCCACCTGAATTTTTTTTTTTTTCTCAAATTATAAGAGAAAGTTTAGAAAGTTACAGAAGTAGTAGGAGTGAGCCAGCTGGACTGCAAAGGCTCAGGAAACAAGTTACAGAGGTAGAAAAAGAACCCTTAGAGCTTAGGAGAGAGAGGCAAAGGTAATGTTCCTGTGGGAGGAGAGGAAGGACAGACATGGGTATGCCCCAGAGAGGGAGAGTGCGTCACCTGAACTTTTTACTCATCTTTTAAGAACACTAGTATGTCTTCCTCCAGGAAGCCTTCCTTGACCCATCCTCCAAGCTTCCTTTAACAGAGTACTGGTCATCCTGGGTCTGTCTTCCCTATGTCTGATTCAATTATATGTTCCCAGCACTTAGCACAGGGTTTGCCATACAGAACAAGAAGGGGGAGCAGAATGGCCATTTCCAGAGTGGCCAGCAGGAGAGGGGGCCTGAGCAGGGATCATGTAGCCCATCTCCCCACTCTGGTTTCTAATCTGGTCTCACAGATTTCCCTGTGGAAATTTGAAATTTGTAGAAAAAACAAATTCTAAAAAACCTATCTGAGGCACCAAGGAGCCCCCCAAATTTGAGACCAACGAGGCCTTCTGTCCCAACCAGCTAGCCCCTCTCCAACATTGAGTCCCTGTCCTGATCTTGCCAAAGCCTCTCAGCCTGAGCCCTTCTTCATCTCCACAGCAGCCTTCCCTGCGCCCACCATTGCAGCCATGGATGGGTATGCCTTGGGTGGAGGCCTGGAACTTGCCCTGGCCTGTGACCTCCGAGTGGCAGGTACTGGGCAGTGGGAGAGGTGGGATAGGGTGGGGAGCAAAGGGGAGTGAAACAGAGTAATTGTGGGGATTCTGTGAAGTCAGCCACTGCTTTTGGCTTTCCAACCAACAGCAGATCTAAAGGCAAGGTGGAAGACACAGGAGAAAGTAGTTCCCCTCCTGGCCCAGCCCTGACTGCTGTAGAACCACTCACCTCTCAGTACCAGGTCCCTCACCTGGAGTGCTTCAAAACTGCTGGCAGGGAACACACACACACACACACACACACACACACAGGGAAGGCAAAGGAGGACAAGATGAGCTGTTGAACCTTCCGACTCGGTCCAAGCCAGCTTTACTTAGCGAATTTTGAACAAAGGTTAGCCATGGGGACAGTTTATCACCAGATCAGCTAAACACAAACATCGCTGGGCAGGAACATTGCCCTCTGGTTCATTTTTTGGAGCAACTGAGCACTGAAGAGTGGAGGAAGGGGGATGAAGAAGATACCTGATTACATTTTAACCTTGCTGACTTGGTGGTCAGGTGCACCCTTCTTGGAGGCCGTTACAGTCTTGGTGCCATCATGGTGCTACATCTTCCTTCAGTGCTTTCTCCCGCCCCCCCAGAACATTTAAAAATGTATAACTGCAGCCATAGAGATAGCTTATATCTACACGATGCATGTCAAAGAAAAGGCATCAAAATACCTGGTCAGGTTATAGCCCCAACTCTGCTTCTCACCTTGTCCATGTTTAAGGCATCTAACTTGTAGGGTTTGGGGAATAGGAGAGTGAGTGTAAAACCCCTCATAGGCAGGAGTGATGGCCATTCCCTCCTGCCTACACTGCATGGCCAGAGGGGATTTAGGAAAGATGCCTGTGCGGTGGAACACTCAAGGAGGGCTTCTCAGAGAAAGAACTTACAAGGACATGGACTAATCACAAGGAAATTTCAGGCTGATGAAAAGCTGGGAGGAATAACTGTAGTGGGAGGAGTCACTGACACTCTAGGCCAGACCAGAGCTAAAGGTGCATGAGACAGAGAATCTATTAACTCACAAATAGGTATTGGACACCTTCCAGGGCCCCCTTCCTTGTTCCAAGCACCATTACCTCATTTGATCCTTAGCAGCTCTTTCAAGCAGGTAATTATCTTTTTTCCACCTATGAGGCTCAGAAAGGGTAACAGACTTACCTGGTGATGCCCCCACCCCTGACCCCACTGGGGATGGTAGGATGAAGGCCTGAGCCTCCTGACCTCCAGTCCAGGGCTCTTCCAAAGGCAAAGACTGGAGAGGTCTGGCTGTGGCCAAATTATGTTGGAAGTGGTTGGCTGAAGGGGTGAGCAGAGCCCAGAGGTGGGTGTCACTTCTCCCCAAGGATTGGCACTTGACAGGGTTAGGGATTCACTCTGTTTATGCAGCTTCCTCAGCTGTCATGGGCCTGATTGAGACCACCCGAGGGCTCCTCCCAGGAGCAGGTAACGTTACCCACAGCACCCATCTTCCTTTACCTGCCCAATCCCTCTACCCAGAGTACATCCCTGCTTTCCTTGGTTTCCCTGTTTCCTTGGCTCTCTGCCCTTCTAAGTCAGAATCTGCTTCTGAGAAGAAGTCTTGGCTGACTCCCAGCCTGGGCCTTCTCTGGGCTCCCACTTCCCATGCTGACTTACCGCCCACTCTCCACCTTGGCAGGAGGGACTCAGAGGCTGCCTCGATGCCTGGGGGTGGCCCTAGCAAAGGAGCTCATCTTCACAGGCCGTCGACTGAGTGGGATGCAGGCCCAGGCCTTGGGGCTGGTGAATCACGCTGTGGCCCAGAACAAGGAGGGCGATGCTGCCTACCACCGGGCACGAGAACTGGCCCAGGAGATCCTGCCCCAGGTGCGCTGAAAGCCCAGCACAGGAGGGAGGGCCTATGCCACGGGGGACACGAGCGGGGAGGCTAGGGTGTCCACGCAAGATCCATTTACCAGACTTATAAAATGAACCCTCTTTGGAGTTTTGCATCCATTTAGCCATCCAGTAAACACACTTAAATCCAATTTTTAGTTAAAATTAAAATTGAATTCTGAGGAACTGGAATCAAATGGGCTTGAAAATCTTTAGACCAGCACTGTCCAGAGAACTTTCCAAGATGATGGACACGTTCCATACTTGGCTGTCCACTAAGGCAGCCTCTAGCCACATGCAGTTACTTCAATTTAATTTAAAGATTTAGTTTCTCAGTTAAACTTCACACATTTCAAATGCTAATAGCCACATGTGACTAGTAGCTACTATACTGGACAGTACCTCATGTCCCCAAGACTAAAAAAGCAAGATAAAAAAATACAAGTCCATCTTTCTGACCGTACTGCATGGTGGAGAAATTCTTGAAGTACATCATGTAGGACATGTGTTAAGACCTATTAATATGTTTAAATCCTCAAATAGCCTCTGAGAATAATCTCACAGAAGGTTTAGAGAACCAGGGGTTTAGGCCTTGCCTAGGTGTAACACTACCAGCTGCCAGGCCCAAAGCCTTCAGCAGGACACCCTGGATCTGACTGATCAGGTCTCCCAAGGACCGGAGAACCTCTACTGACTTCTCACGACTGTGACAGGACCCAGAGGTAGCTTCCATAAAGATATGAAAGCAGCTGAAATGGAGCTAAGTTTTACTAACATAATAAATACTGACAGCCCACATGGAGCATCGCCCATCCATCAGATACAATTCTAGGTACTTTAATATAGTGTCTCAATTATTGGAATAATCCAGCTGAGTTGATTATCCTCGTATCTGTGATATAACAGCCCCAGAAAGGTTAAGTGACTTGCTCATCAAGGTCACAAAAAGTGACTACAATACCATACCAGTGAGACAATACTGGTATTTTGGCATTTATTTTACATAATATAAAAACTACATACAATATAAAAACTAGTATTTATTGTAGAGTACAGAATATGTACAAAATTTGTGAAAGTAATGCATTTCAAGTATAAAAATTTGAATATAATGAACAAAAAAAGCTGATGAACAAAATAGACCCAGAGACATAGAAGGAATACGGTTCAGACTGACAAACCTCAGAGGAGGGGGGTGGGGGGAAGGGATGAGATAAACCAAAGAACTTACATGCATGTATGCAGAACCAATGGACATAGACAACAATGCTTGGGGGGTTTGGGGGGTTGAGAGGAGGGTGTCTAAGGGGAAAAAGGAGAAATATCTGTAACAAAAATAAATTAATTTAAAAAAAGAAAGATAAAACTATCTGAATTAATCATGAAAATAAGTATTTTATTTTGGAAAAAATTCTTTCTCTGTTTCCAATTTAAATAATAACTTTTTATAACTTGAGATCTTCCTTGAGGGCAGGGACTATAACTTTAAAATTTTTTTTCCTTTATTGATTTTAGAGAGAGAGGAAGTGAGAGGGAGAGAGAGATAGAAACATTGATGAGAGAGAACATTGATTGGCCGCCTCCTGCATGACCCCCCACTGGGTATCGGGCCCACAACCTGGGCATGTGTCCTGACTGGGAATCGAACTGGTGACTTCTTGGTGCATGGGTCGACGCTCAACCACTGAGCCACACCAGCTGGACAAGACTATAACTTTTAAAAACTGATAGTTAGTTTGGTTTAAAAGAAAGCATGTTTTGTCTTCTTTCCCTTTTGTGTGTGTGTGTTTTTAGTTTTATCATTATAAATGGAGAGTCTGATGGTATTCCCAGGACAATTTTAATGCTGTCAGATTTCTATTACACTTGGTCAGAAAGTCTCTGAACTATTACAAAACTCTGACTCAAGGTAGTGGCTGACTGCCTTTCACAGAGGACGCCTACCTAGCAAGACCTTTGCAGGGTTGTGTCTTTCTTCATAAACTGAATTACTGGGTCTTTGAGCTTGATCTCAAGATGATTCTGATTTCAGATATTTTAATACACTGAAATAATGGTATTCTACTAATGTAAGTACTAGTATTTTAGTACTTAAAAGTAGTTCTGCATTCCAAAACATCAGCATTACCAAAAACTAGTATTACCATCACTGATCCCAGTGGTAGAACATCTGATGCAACCTATAAAAATAAACATTCAACTTCCAGCCTATTCCTGGATGGGGTGAATGACAGGGATGGTGTGGTAGATGGCTACCCACTAGTGGACAAACTACAAAGACTAGGGAGTCAAATGGTTCCAGAGATTAGGGCCCAAAAAACATTTTAAATAAATGCAAGGCCTGCAACTTAACACTTAGATTTTCTCCCTAAACAGTAAATACATATTATGCTTTAAATATGGATTTGGCTATGTTTTCTACTTGAACATACTGTGGCCACAAGTGTGACTCACTGTTTTCATTTCCAAATAACGTGACATTTTTATATTTCTAATAATTCTCATATATATAGGGGTGAGCAAAAGTAAGTTTACAGTTGTGAGTACACAAAACAGTGTATTCTTGTATTATTTATCACTGAATTATTTATTTGTATAATTTGTCTTATTGTTATTATTTCATATCCTTACTTATGATTTATCTCTTAGGTAAAGATGGTTAGTAATTTAACCTATTTTGCCCAACCTTGTATGGTATGTTAAAACTATATGTATATAGTTTTAAATTTTCTTTAGTGAGAAAGCAGTTTCTTTATTAGTTACCTAAATAATAATAATACATATTCATGACAAGCAAATCAAACAGAACACAAGAATAAGAAAGGCATAGGTAAAGATAAAAAGTAAAGAGACCCAGGTAACCCTGTTTACCTAGGGCTGACCCAATTAAAAGTAAAAGAAAGTCCCATGCCCTGATGACCCTTCAGTCATAGGCAAACCGAGCCACTTGGTCACCCAAACAGCTCTCAATTCCCCAATACCTTTCCCCAGAGATGACTGTTAACAGTAAGCATACTCTTCCAGAAATTTTTATTTCATATGTAAGAATATAGGTTACACATATATGCTCACACAGTATATTTAAGTAACTCTAAGTTCCTTTAAGGATGGTTTAGGAAACAAGGAACATAGCTTTAGAGGCTAATCCCGTTCTAAGAGACATTTTAAAAACATGAAATTAAAATGTTGTGCATAATAAAGAATTCAAACAGGCCCTGGCTGGTTTGTCTCATCAGCCTGCGGACCAAAGAGTTGCGGGTTTGCTTCCAGTCATGGGCATGTAGCTCGGTTGCGGTTCGGTCCATTTTGTGCGGGAGGCAACCCATCGATGTCTCTCTCTCACACTGATGTTTCTCTCTCTCTCTCCCTCTCTTCCTCCCACGCTCTTTGAAGATAAATGGAAAAATATTCTCGGGTGAGGATTAAAGAAAAAAAGAACTCAAACAGTATGGAAAAGTATAAAACAAAAAGTGAACTTTCTCCTGACCCTTCTCCTCAAAGGCATGTCATATTAACACCTTTTATACAAATGGAATAATAATATAGATACTAGTACGCACCTTATTTTAACTTAATTTCTTGGAGTTTCCCATTTCAGCATATATGTGTGTTAGCATACATTTTTGTTTCTGAGTATATAGACATATACAAGGGCGGGCAAAAGTAGGTTTACAGTTGTGAGTGTGAAAGTTTATTCTTGTATTATTTTTGTTTTATTATTATTTTGAACCTACTTTTGTCCACTTCTATATATTTATCGACCTCATTCTTTTTAAACAACTGTACTTTTTCATTCATGGTCTGGATGTACTATTATTTAAGCAGTACTCTAATGATGAACATTTATGTTGCTTACATCTTTCTGTTACTGCAAAAGAGCTGGAGTGAATAACTTTATACATCTTAGTGCACTTGTAGAGGTGTATCTGTAGGTTAGTTTCCTACATGGAGCTGCAACATTAAAGAACATGTGCAGCTAACATTTGTGAGTTCTTGCCAAATTGCCTTTCCAAAGCATTGTACCAATTTCCTCTATCAATAATGTATGCAAATACATTTCCTAATCTCGACAATAGTGGGCATTACCAACATTTTTACTTTTTACCTAGTCTGAGGTGAAAGGGGCACCTCACTGTTTTGACTTGCATTTTCTTAAATCTGTGAACCCTTTGTTTATATTTTTCTGTGAACCCCCTTTTCATACCCTTGTGAATGTTAAAAAAAAAAATTATACTAGCTTTTTAAAAATCAAGAAAGTTCATTTGTCTTAAGTATCACAAATACATCTTCCCAGTTTTTTACTTTTGCCTTTTATTTGTGGTAGTTTTCCCAACTTCATTTTTATGTAACTAGCTTTTTCGATTATGGCTTATATGCTAACAGATTTTAAAATAATCATTCTTTTTCTAATAAAGTCTTAGTTATAAAAGCTTCAAATAATATGAACTGTAGGAAGTGAATTCCTTGCCTGGAAGTGGGGCTGGGAACGGAGTGCCAGGCCTGCTGTGGCACAAGTTAATTAACTGGACACAAAACCGGCAAAGGAGAGATGGCTGCTTTGATGCTCTTGCTTCCAAGCGGCTGTGCAAAATGTCCCCTTGGGGTTTCAACCCAGGCCTGTCAGACTTCAGAGCCTACGTTCCTAATCCTGACCATTTTTTACTCTGCTGGGGTGAAACCTGCTTGCAGTGAAGGCTTTCATTTGCTGAGATGAGAGGGATAAAGGGAGAAGCAGTGGGAAAGGTGACTGGGAACCAAATCCAAGCTTCACCACTGACTCACTGGCCAAATGTGACCAAATGCTTCACCTCCCTGAGCCTCAACTAAAGATGGCACAATCCTGCCCTGGCCGGTTTGGCTCAGCGGGTAGAGCATCAGTCTGAAGTCCAGAGTGACCCGGGTTCAGTTCCCGCTAAGAGTACGTACCTCGGTTGCAGTTTGTCCCCGGCCCTGGTTGGGTCATGCGGGTGGCAGCCACTTGATGTGTCCCTTTCACATCGATGTTTCTCTCTCTTCCTCTCTATCCCTCCCACTCTGTCTGAACAAAAATGGAAAAATGTCCTCAGGTGAGGATTAAAAAAAAAGATGGCACAATCCTGAAAGGGTGAGTAGCACCAATAGACAAGTCTATAGGTGGGAAAGCACTTTGTAAATTGTAGTATTCATAGGAATGAATTAAATAGGAATGAATTAAAAGACAAGAACCCCAGGTGGTCAGGATTGGGTAGATCAGGGATTAATCAGGTTTCCTTTATAATAGAAAAGGAATGTCAACTGAGAACCAGTAGGTGCTAACGCTAACGAAATATAACACTTAGCAGAACAGTTAGAACTCTGCCTCCCCATCCACAACTCTTCCCTCACGATGGAGCTGTATGCCTTTATTTCAACCACCCAACGATCAGCATTGATCCCCTCCTTAACCAAGCCTTTTCTTTTCCCTAGGCCCCCATTGCTGTGCGGCTGGGCAAAGTAGCCATTGATCGAGGAATGGAGGTGAGAGGGCTCTGGTCAGGACTGGCCAGTGGGGTGGCTGGGAGGCAGTGCTGTCATGGCACTCCGGAACTGGACTAAAAGAGCTCAGGAACTGGAGTCCTGTAACAGACTTCCAGTCTGACTTCTCTCTTTTTGTGCCTTAGTTTACCCATCTACAAAATGTAAAGTTTGGCCAGGTGATATTACAGATTACATATTATCAACATCTTTTTCTCCTGGAGAGAGAAGGAAATTGAGGCTCAGAAAGGGTAAATGACTCATCCAGGGTCACAGAGCAAGTAATAAGAACCAGGCCTGTGTGGCTCCCTGTCTATATTCTTGGCTTTGTGCTGATGGTCAGTAATGTGGCCTCAAGGACAGGGCTCAGGGTGGAGTCTTGGGTACAGCTAATCCATCCCTACTCATCAACTTATTCACATAGTGATTCTAGAGCTGAGCCGGGAACTAGGACACAGAGATAAGTAACATATAGTCACTGACCCCAAGGTGGGGAGTGGGGCAGATACAGACCCAGATCACTAATAAAAGGTTAAGGGTACCAAGCAGATAGTTACCCTGAAGAGGTTAAAGCTGCACTGTCCCATTGGGTAGTGCTGAGTTCAAGAGTATATTCAAGTTGGGCCTTGGAAAGGACGAACATTCCAAAAAAAAGGTAAAGTATGAGCAAAAGCACAGAGGTGCATAAATAAGCACTTCGACTGAATGGGAGTAAGGGGTGAGACAACAAACCATGGAAGTTAGGGGCAAGGGCTCTGGTGCTGGGCTGTCTGGGCTCAAAGACCTGCTTTTCCGCATATTGCTATGACCTTAGACAAATTCCTTCATCTTTTTTTTTTTCTTTTGGTACGTGCCCCTAGCGGTAACCGAACTCGGGACTCTCTGGTCCGCAGGCCGATGCTCCAACTGCTGAGTCAACCGACCAGGGCCCCTTCACCTTTCCTTACTTCAGATTTCTCAACTGCATACTAGGGATGCTCTAACCTTTGCATGAAGGTTACATACATGCAGTACTTCTCCTAGAACAGTGCTTGTTAAGCAGTAGTAATGGAAAGCAATGGACAGTAGAGGCTGGGAAGTTGCCTAGGTCATGAAGGCCCAGGACCTTATTCTTAAGGGCAATGGAAAGCCTGCAAAGTTCACTAGTGGGGTAGTGACAGGAGGCATGGGGAGGCAGCCCGTGGGAGGGAGGAACTGTCTGCAAGCACAGCTCATGCCTGCCCTCCTCAGCTCTGCAGGCTGTGTGCAACCCTCCCCATTGGTTTCACAGCCCCAATTTGTTCCAGCACTGTTTTGGTAGTTATGAATAGCATTCAATATCCAGGTAGGGAATTCCTTAGCATAATCATCTCTGTTCTTGACTGGCATACAGTAAGCCACAGTAATTCTTTGCTGGAGAAAGCCATGAACCAGTAGAGAATAGTATAGGCAGTAGGGCAGGCTGGCTCCCGATGCAGATGGAGGTAGACAAGGTCAGACTGATCCAGGTACTTCTTTCTTGCAGGTGGACATTGCATCAGGGATGGCCATTGAAGGGATATGCTATGCCCAGGTATGTGGTTGCTGCCCATCAGTCCAATGCATGCTTGTAAGCAGAGGCTGGGTCAGTCAGGGCCCTTGTGCAATACATGACCAATTTAGTAGGTTCCTCCCAACTCAAAGGGTCTCACTCTACACCACCTTCTCCTCACAATTAGCCTGGGATGCTCCCAGAGGAACCACACAGCTTCTCTCTGGGACTGTTTCCTCAGCCATCTGATGGTGGTACATCCTGTCTCCAGTGAGTGCCCAGAGAATCAAACAACACAAAGGTACTTGAGAGAGAGGAAGAATGGCTTCCACAGTCTCTGTACCAGTAGCCACTGTAGAGGCCAGACTAGAGTTGGGATGTCAAGGCCTTGGTTATTATATCCTGCAGGCTATGTGTTTGATGGTGGGGTGATAAACCTGGGGCTGACCTATTTAGCCCTGACTCCTGGGTGAGTAAAAAATTACTAATCTCCGGGTCAACAAATATCAAAAATGCTCCTAAACAAGAGGTACTGGGACATGCAGGGCCTGGTGTGAGCGAGCCACACATCAGGATTCAAAGCCATATTTCTTACTGCGAAGCCTCGTATCAGACTGCTATAGGAGACAGTCAGTTCTCGAGGCATGTAAGCAGTGTGCAAGTAGAGGTTACAAATGACAGGCCAGAGTCTGAAGAGGCCGCTTGTCTTCTCCAGGAGACTAAGGAGCCACTGAGGCCAATACCTTCACATGGCCCAACACCAGAGTCTGCAGACAATAAAGACTTGGACCCTAGCCTTGTCATGGGCTGGACAAACTTGAGTAAATCTTTATTGGCTTCTGGCCCTACTCCCCCACAAATATTCTTTTGTTGTTTCAGAACATCCCCACCCGGGACCGGCTAGAGGGTATGGCAGCCTTCAGGGAGAAACGACCCCCTAGATTTGTGGGCGAGTGATTCCCATTTAACCTCAAGCATGGGAGATGCGCACCTTCAAGTGCAGGATCCAGAAGGAAAATATGCAGTGGACTGCCCTCATTATTTCACCTCTCCAGGCTTCAGTTTTCTCAAAGACAGTAATGGATATAAAATGACTGATATGGTGCCTAGTAATAAGGTGCTGACCAAGCCACCTACTGTTGCCTTCCTTACTCCCCACCCTGGCTAATCACTGGGGCTGTTTGATTTGAAGAATACCAGTCTTTCCCTACTCGAATAACAAACTAAGGATTAAAATAGACCCCTCTGGGCCTTTGTATTGTTGGCTTTCAGGCCTGATCTCTGCCTCTCAGTGATCAGGTGCTCACCAGAGATGGCAAGAGGTAGTAAGAACACCCCCCCCCCCACCCCCGTTTCTAACTCTGTACAACAGAGATCATAGGGAAACCCTGGTAGGTGAGTAGGTGGGTGCCAGGACTCAGACCACAGATTCCAGCTATTGTGTCAGTTACTCACTGTGTGCCTCAGTTCCCTCATCTGCAATTTGAAACTGTTATGAGGATTTAAATAAATAAAATGCTTCATGTTCCATAAATGTAAGTTATTAATGTACAGCGTTCTTGTGAGAATCAAATAAAATCTCTGTTGTGAAAACATTTGTAAACTACAGGGGAGTAGGCCAGTCTCTGAAGCTGCATTAACTAGACTTCAGGAACATTGAGAAGGAAGCAATTAACTGATGGAGAGAATGGAGGGTCAGGAAATGAGCAGGTAACACTAGAGTTGAAGCCTGAAGAATTAATAGGCACGTGAGGCAAAAAAGAGGAAGCTTGAGGGGAACAGCCTGAGCAAAGGTGAACAAGAGGATGACACACTGAGAAACAAAGGGGGCTGATGTGCATATATGCACACTAGTCTCAGGAGCCCTCCTCCTGTACCAAGGCAAGGGAAGAGAAGGCTGCATCCTACACCAGAGCCTTGCGGTCATTCTCTAATAGATCTAAGCTCTGCCTGAGCTTTCTAAGCATAAGCCTGGTCTAGAGTCACTAAATCATCGGCATGGACACATACCAATAATGTTAATTTGCTGCTAAACACAAATGTGCCCCAAGGCTGTGCTCACTTCCTGGAAAGGAGAATAACAGAAGAGCCCAGGTCTTAGAATTAGCCCCAACCTAACAAGCTGCTAACTACTCAGGAAAGTAACAACCTTACTGAACTGTCTTTTTCTCATCTGTTAAATGGGAAGAATAAAACCCCAGAGGATTGCTGTAAATGAGACAAAATTTGAAGAGGTGCCTAGTGTAGAACTGGGCCTCCACCCACACAACGTCCCACCTCATCCTCATGTTAGCAAAAGCTAGTATTCGGTAACAGAATGTTCCAAAGTACTAGAACCAGGTCAGAAAACTCAGTTTTTGAAATCATGCAGAAAAGTGAATGAGAGAAAAGACAGTAGAATTTCAGGACTGTAGGAGGAAGAAGGTTATACATTCCCCTCATCCAGTGGGACAGTGGTGAGTAATAGTTTGGAATGTGGTTTAGAATAAGTCTCATTTGATTCCAAATGATGGCACATAGCATTCCAGTCAAGAGTGTGGCCAATGAAGAGAATAAAATTCTAGTCCTAAAATATGTAACTAATAAAAAAGAAATTTATTTTTGTTCTTTGAGAAACTTATAACACATGAATAACAAAACATGGTTTGTAAAGTTGTCAATAATAAGGCAAGAAAGGAGTCCACACTATTCTACAGAGGAGGTTTGCAAGGACACAAATGAAAGCTTCTGACACTTTATATTGTGATTGAGGCTGGTTCTCAGAAATGCCCACATTTTTTCTTGTCGCCATACTAGGTAACAGCACCTCTTGAAATCTTTGGCAAAGTCTTTTTGTGGCTCTTTCTCTTCCTCTCAGTCCTGTCACACTTCTCCAATTGTAAATTTGAGAGACCGAGATTTACAATTCCCACACAATCTTCTTCTACACACTATTCTCAGTCCCAAGTCCCACCATGCCCCTCCAGAACACCCACACACAGGATGTTATGCTACTCAGTCTAATGCGTAAAGTTGGAGGGGAATAGGCCACAAGAAGAATATCAAAAATTGCTAAAAACATTTCTCTTTTTTCCACCCCACAGTGGTATCTATTTATAAAGAAAAGTAACTGTCATAACTGTTTCTAACACAGGCTTACAGTTCTTCCCAGAGTCCAGGGCTTCATTTTTCAAAATTGCTGAAGGAGTGTTCTCAGAATGATTCCAACTTGATTTAGGGTTATGACCATCATACAAATGCAACTTTAGTTTATAGAACACTGTCAATAAAAGATGGCCAACTCATAAACTCCAACAATGGGTTTCAACATTCAATGGCTGACGGGGGGAAGATCTGCCTGCCCTTGAAGAACAAAGAGCACTTCTGAGCCCCTTAGATTAAAAGAGGCATGCAAGCCCTGGCCCGCTGGCTCAGCAATTAGAGTGTCAGCCCATGGATCAGAGGTTTGATTCCAGTCAAGGGCATGTACCTCGGCTGCAATTTGATCCCAGGCCCTGGTTGGGGTCGTGCAGGATGCAACCAGTCGATGTGTTTCTTTCACATCAATGTTTTTCTCTCTCTCCCCCTCCCAATCCATTTGAAAAATCAATGGAAAAATATCCTCAAGTGAGGATTAAAAAAAAATTTATTTTTAAAGGGGGCATTCAACACAAAGGTAGTTTCTGATAATTCATGAAATGCATTCTGAAGTCATCTAGAATGGAGGCTGCAAACTGCTGTGCTTGGGGGTCTGCCTCATTGTGCTCCTGGATGTCACACAAAAGCTGCAATCCTTCTTCTTCAACTAACATTTTGCAGTATTTGCTGGCTGTAAGACAATCAAGCAAAAAATCTTGATGGATAATTTGGTACTTTAAATATTCCCAAGTCACCACATTCACCTTTTTCAAAAAAGGGTACAAAGGTTTAAGTTCTTTGACATAGGAAGGAACCTAAAGTGAGTCGATTCAAAAGAAATTGGTCAAAACTTATATTACGCTTGGCTTGTATAGTGATGTAACATGATTATTTTAGTACGTGTACTTCCAGACAACTCCATGCTTCACATATCTCTAATCTTAGCAAAAAACAGTAAGAACAAGAACATCTTTTATTACAAAATTAATACACATTTCAGGTTCAGGCAACATTGTGAGCTAGGTAAGATGAAAATACCACATGCTGATTAAAATATAGATGAAAAAATTTTTAAATGCATAGCTGAATGTACAACGTAAAGATAATGTCCAGAGAAGCCAGACACAAAGAAGAAAAGCACCTAAAGTACATAAGCTAACAGGCAGCTATTCTGGGGCAGAAAGGGACTATCAGTTTCAGTAATCTAGAAATTTAGATTCTGATTTAGGAAGTTAGAAGCAAAATTAGGTCATAAAGCTAGTCCCTCAAAGGGCTTGACAAGATAGGATAATAAAACATCTTTACCTTGAGCTCTAAGTGGATATATAGGAGTAGAAAGGAGAAGTCCTTCCTGAGAATTCATAACCTCAGTCCCAAGTGGGTTTGAATCAACACTATCAAAATGTTCTGGGAACCCTTGAGCTGAGAAATTAATATAAAAATTGCCCTGGCTGGTTTGCTCAGTGGTTAGAGCATCAGCCTGTGGTCCAGGGAGACCCGGGTTCAGTTCCCACTAAGGGCACGTATCTCAGTTGCAGTTTGTCCCCAGCCCTGGTTGGGTCGTGCGGGAGGCAGCCACTTGATGTGTCCCTTTCACGTCAATGTTTCTCTCCCTCTCTCTCCTCCTCTCTCTCCCTCCCACTCTACCTGAACAAAAAGTAGAAAAGTGTCCTTAGGTGAGGATAAAAAAATAATAAAAATTAATAGTCTAATCCCAAGGAAACCTCTAAAGCACTCGACAGAAACAAATAAAAACCATGTTGAAGACACATGTCCACAATTCAGTCTAAAAAAATTCCCTTCCCTGGCTGGTGTGGCTCAGTGGTAGAGCATCAACCCATGCACCCAGAGGTCGCTGGTTCGATTCCTGGTCAGAGCACATGCCCAGGTTGTGGGCCTGATCCCCTGTGGGGGGCATCCAGGATGTGGCCAATCGATGTTCTTTCTCATCAATATTTCTCTCTCTCTCTCTCTCTCTCCCTTCCCCTCTCTAAAAATCAAGGGGGAAAAAAAAAAAAAGCAAAACAAAATAAACTGAAACAGACTCATAAATACAGAGAACAACCTGATGGTTGCCAGAGGACCAAGTGGCAGGGATAAAAGGAATAGGTGAAGGGGATTAAGAGACTCAAACTTCCAGTTATAAAATAATTAAGTGGGAAGGATGTAACATATAACATAGGGAATATAGTTAATAATACTGTAATAACTTTATATGGGTACAAATAGTTACTAGACTTAATATGGAGATTATTTTGTGAGGTATTTAAATGTTGAATTTCTAAAATGCATTCCTAATATAGCCCTGGCCAGTTTGGCTCAGGGGTTAAGTGTCGGCCCGCAGACCTGAGTCCCGGGTTAGGTTGCCGCTAAGGGAACGTACCTCAGTTGCAGTTTGTCCCTGGCCCCAAGGGGTTGTATGGGTGGCAGCCAGTCCATGTGTCTCTCTCACATGGATGTTTCTCTCTCCTTCCCGTTCTATCTGAAGATAAATGAAAAAATGTCCTTGGGTGAGAATAAAAATAAGTAAATAAATAAAGCTAATATAATATTTTATGTCAATATACTTCAATTAAAAATAAAATAAATTGCCCTGGCCAGTTTTGCTCAGTGGTTAGAGCGTTGGCCTGCGGTCCAGAGAGACCTGGATTTGGTTCCTGCTAAGGGCATGTACCTTGGTTGCAGTCCCCAGCCCTGGTTGGTCATGAGGGTGGCAGCCACTCGATGGGTCCCTTTCATGTCGATGTTTCTCTCTCTCTCTCCCCCACTTTGTCTGAACGGAAAATGGAAAGGTGTCCTCAGGTGAGGATGAAAAACATAAATAAATAAATAAATAAATAAATAAATAAATAAAGCTAGATTACAAGATGTGTAGGGAAGAATGAGAGAAATTACAAGATACTTCTGATGGCTGCTTCTCAATAAAAGAATGGAGAGAATAGCCCTGGCTGGTTTGGCTCAGCAGTTTGAGTGTCAACCTGCGGACCAGAGTCCCGGGTTCGGTTCCTGCTAAGGGCACATACCTTTGTTTCAGTTCATCCCCAGCCCTGGTTGGGGTCGTGTAGGTGGCAACCACCAATGTGAGTCTCTCACATCGATATTTCTCTCTCTCTCTTCCTCCTTCTCTCCCTCCCCGCTCTATGTGAAGATAAATGCAAAAATGTCCTGGGGTGCTCTGGTCAGTTTGGCTCAGCGGTTGGAGCTTCAGCCTGCGGACCAGAGAGTCCTGGATTCAGTTCCCACTAGGCCCTAGCAGCTAGGGGCACGTACCACAAAAAAAAAAAAAAGTCCTCGGGTAAGGATTAAAAAAAAAAAAAGAACAGAGAGAATACGGGAAAGGTAATATTTTAAAAGAAAATGACTGAGAATTTTCATTAATTTTAGAAAATGTAACCATCACCTGAAATCCAGAGGCAAGAAAATAAAAGACTGCCCTGGCCGGTTTGGCTCAGCGGTTGGAGCGTCGGCCTGCGGACCAGAGAGTCCTGGGTTCGGTTCCTGTTAGGGGCATGTACCAAAAAAATAAAAATGAAATAAAATAAAATAAAAGACTGACTTGTAAGCACAATTAACAAAGTCAAGACAATAAACTGGGGGTAAACATTTGAAAGACTTCCTTGAAATTAAAAAGAACCAAGAGGAGACAAAAAATGAATAAAGGATATCAACAGATAAATCAAGGAAAAGGAAATGACTTAAATATAAGAAAAAATTGTTAACTTCACTTAAAATAAATGTTAACTGAGACTATCATCTTCACCTTAGATTGGCAAAGATAAAAAATTCAATTAAACATTGTATTTGCAAGAACGTAAGGACACTGGCAAACTCTCATACATTGCTGACTGGAATGCAAACTAGTGATCAACTCTTGGGAGGACAGTTCAGCAATACCTATCAAAATTACAAATGTTTATAATATTTGGACTCAGCAATTCTAAGTATTCCACAGATTAACTCACGCACTTACTTAACAAATGCTATGTATACTATGCTTGTACTATGAGCCAACCAGTTTTTTATTTTTTATTTTTATTTATTTTTATTTTTTATTTTTTTTATCCTTACCCGAGGATATATTTTTTCCATTTTTTGTACAGATAGAGTGGGAGGGAGAGAGAAGAAGGGAGAGAGAGTGAGAAACATCGACGTGAAGGGACACATCGAGTGGCTGCCACCCGCACGACCAACCAGGGCCGGGGACAAACTGCAACCGAAGTACGTGCTCTTAGCGGGAACCGAACCCGGGTCTCTCCGGACCGCAGGCCGACGCTCTAACCGCTGAGCCAAACTGGCCAGGGCTCAACCAGTTTTTTAAAATACTTTTATTACCACACATACATTTCCCCTAGTTTTACTCTATGGATATATGTTGTACATATGTGCACACACATACATATGTCATTATACATATATTCACTGAACCAGTGTTTGCAATAGAAAAGATAGAAAACAATTTTTATTTATTTATTTATTTATTTATTTATTTATTTATTTATTTATTTTTGTTAATCCTCACTCGATAATATTTTTCCAGTGACTTTTTATTTTTTTATTTTATTTTATTTTTTTATCCTCACCCGAGGATATTTTTCCATTTTTTGTACAGATAGAGTGGGAGGGAGAGAGAGGAAGGGAGAGAGAGAGAGAAACATCGACGTGAAGGGACACATCGAGTGGCTGCCACCCGCACGACCAACCAGGGCCGGGGACAAACTGCAACCAAAGTACGTGCCCTTAGCGGGAACCGAACCCGGGTCTCTCCGGACCGCAGGCCGACGCTTTAACCGCTGAGCCAAACTGGCCAGGGCTCCAGTGACTTTTTAGATAGAGTGGAAGGGAGGCAGGGAGAGAGAGACAGAGAGAAAAAAACATCGATGCGAGAAAAACACACAGATCAGGGATGAACCTGCAACCCTGGTACATGCCCTTGACCAGGAATCAAATCTGTGACCCCTGGGTCCATGGGCTGATGCTCTAACCACTAAGCAAAATTGGTCAGGGCAGAAACAATGTCATTTTATTTATTTAAATCCTCACCTGAGGAGATTTTTCCATTTATCTTCAGATAGGGAAGGAGAGTGGGGGAGAGAGAGAGAGAAACATTGACTGGTTACCCCCTCACAGGGCCAGGGACCAAACCGCACTGAGGTACACACCCTTGACTGGAACTGAACCTGTGACTCTTTGGTCTGCGGGCCGATGCTCTAACCGCTGAGCATAACTGACCAGGGTGAAACAATGTCATTTTAAAGGAGACTGAATTATTATATCCACACAGAGAAGAAAATATTAAGTGACCTAATTAATAGAGGTGATCCTGAGTCAGATCACTAGGTTATAACCCTGGTTCTGCCAGTTGCCTGCTGTTTTAACTCTGGGCAGGTTATTTAACTTCTTTGTGCCTTGTTTTCTTATCTGTAATAGATATGTAATAATAATAATGATGATGATGATGATGATGATGATGATAATGCTACCCTCTTCTAATTGTAGTGAAGATTAAGGAAGTTACTCATAAAGAGGTACAACACTGTCTACACATACTAAGTACTCAACTAAGTTCGAGGAGTTGTTATAGTTACTGCTGTTGTAAATGAATATAGTGGTCTGTTTCAGGGCCATTCTGACCAAGAGATCTGCCTATATTAATTCATATGCCAGCACAATTCACAGTAATTTCTACAATTTAAAGAGAAGTGTTAGGTCAAGCTCTTATTAAAACAAACCACTCCCCTTGTTCAGTTCTCTACTTTTTATTCTGACAGATAAACTTTAGATTAATTTGTAGATGCCTAACCTCTTATTCATTCATTTCAATTGTATTATATCCATAAACTGAAAAAAATTGATGTCTATACCTTAAGTCTTTCCATATAGGAATAAAGTATGTCACATAATTATTTCAGGCTTTTAAATTTTTTTCTCATAGTTTTCTGCATATAGGTTTCATTACCTGTTAAAGGTATCTTGAGATATTTTATGCTCTAGCTGCTGGCTAAACCTTTAATTCTATAAGGGGGGACAATGGGCAAAAAGGGGGGAACCTGTAATACATTCAATAATAAAAATGAGTTAAAAAAATCAATCAAGATAAAAAATTTTTTTTAAATAATATAAATAAATAAATAAATAAATAAATAAATAAAGGTACATACCCGGGTTGCAGGTCCGATCCCCAGCCCTGGTTGGGGCACGTGTGGGAGGCAACCAATAGATGTGTGTCTCTCACATCGATGTTTCTCGCTCTCTTTCTTTCTCCCCCTTCTCTCTATTCCCTTTCACTCTTTCTAAAAAAGTCAATGGAAAAAATATCCTTGGGGCTCAGCCAGTGTGGCTCAGTGGACTGAGCATCATCCCATGCACCAAAAAAGGTCACTGGTTCAATTCCTGGTCAGGGACATGCCTGGGTTGCAGGCTCAATTCCCAGTAAGGGGCGTGCAGGAGGCAGCCAACAGGTGATGTTGTTTCTCTCTCATTGATGTTTCTATCTCTTGCTCCCTCTCCCTTCCTCTTTCTCTAAAAAAGCAATAAAAACATTAAAAAAAAAATACACACACACACACATCCTTGGGTGAGGATTAACAAACAAACAAAAAAAGATAGAACGCTGGCCAGTTTGGCTCAGAGATTAGAGCATCGGCCCATGAACCAATGAGTCATGGGTTCGATTCTGACAGGGCACGAACCTCGGTTGCGGTTTGTCCCCTGCCCTGGTCGGGGTCCTGTGGGAGGCTGCCAGTCAATGTATCTCTCTCACATCAATGTTTCTCTCTCCCTCCCTCCCTCCCACTCTAACTGAAGATAAATAGAAAAATATCTTCAGGTGAAGATTGAAAAAAAAAGAAAGTTTCTACCACCCACATGACCCCAGCCAGGGCCAGGGACAAATAGCAACTGAGGCACGTACCCTTAGCGGGAACTGAACCTGGGACTCTCCGGTCCGTGGGCCGACACTCTAACCGCTAAGCTAAACTGGCCAGGGCAAGGTAAGAACTTTCTATGTTGTTTGACATTCACCCCTTAATATAGTATAATTTTGTTGCATTTTTTAAACTAAGAAAAACATTTTTCAATTTCTTTTTATAAGGAGTTAAATTCAGGACACAGGTGAACAGTTTTTCCAAATTCCATATTAACTTAATCATTACACTGAAAAATAGCTGCAAAACTACTGTTTTGAATACATACGGTTTTTACTGCAGACATGATACATAGCCCATAGTGCCCAGAGCTGCACCTCTGGTTGAGAGAAATTGCCAAGGAGCGGGAAAAATGCCTTGAAGGATCTAAAAAGGTACAAAGAAGATATTCATTCAGAACTCAGGCTAACATCAGGGATATAAAAATAATTTTCAACATTTTCCCCATACAGTCAATTCCTCACTGAGACAGATGTATTATTGAAAATATAATGGGAGCTAGCATTTAAAGAATTGCATTATTGGCCCTGGCTGAGTAGTTCTGTTAGTTATAGTGTTGTCCCAATACACCAAGGTTGAAGGTTCAATACTCGATCAGGGGACATACAAGAATCAACCAATGAATGTACAGATAAAGGCAATAACAAAGCAATGCTTCTCTCTTTAAAAATCAATAAAGTAAAATAAGAAATTTTTTTAAAAATTGTATTCTGTGTTAGACACTCTATACATTCATCCTTAATCTTACAAATTGTCAGCCTCATTTTACAGATGATGAAAAGTGAGTCTTAGAGATTTTCTAAAGGCAATTTACCAATATTACAAATAAATAGGATCTGAACACAAGATTATTTAACACTAGTATTTTATCACTATGCCATGGCCTCAAACTTTAAGAAATGCACTACATCATTGTGAAATTACCTGTAAGTCACCAATGCTGTCATCTTACAACTTGAACTTGGCCAATTCTGAATGGTTGCATACTATACAAAAAGAGAAATGAGGATTCTAGTATTCCATCATTTTTTAAAAGGTCAAAATACAGGCATGATTACCCAACTTTAGGTATATCTTCTTGCCAAAATATCAATTGGGTAAACCATTATGTATGTAAAATATAAACAAAGTCATGTGGAAAACAATGCAAAAAAAAGAAGCTTCTGTTTAAAGATGGAGAACGGAGCAGGTATCCACACCTTTCCTAAATCCCACATACAGAATAATCCAATGCTTTAAAATAAAAGGCAAACACACAAAGAACAAAGTAGAAAGAAAATGGTATCTGATTCAATAGATCTAGCACTGGGGAAAGTTAAAAAACAAAACAATTTGAATAGAAACCCCCAAGAGATTTAAACATTTGACACACCAGGAACTTCAGGAAGTGAGATTAGATAGAGGTGGTGTTAAAAAGAGGAGTGTGGCTCGGTGGATTGAGCAGTCATCCCATGGACCGAGAGGTCCCGGTTCAGTTCCTGGTCAGGGCACATGCCTGGGCTGCAGGCTCAATCCCCAGTAGGAAGCAGCCAATGGATGTTTCTCTCTCACGTTGGTGTTTCCATTTCTCTCTCCAAAAAAATCAATTAAAAAAAAATAAAGAGTATTGGCCTTGATGAACATAGATGCTAAACTCCTCAACAAAATATTAGCAAATTGGATCCAGCAATACATTTAAAAGATCATACACTATGACCAAGTGGGATTTATTCCAGGGATGCAAGGCTGGTACAGTATTCGCAAATCAATAAATGTGATATATCACATAAATAAAATGAAGGATAAAAATCACATTATCAGCCCTGGTCAGTTTGGCTCAGGGGTTAGAGCATCAGTCCCCAGAAGGAAGGGTTTCAGATTTGAGTCCCAGTCAAGGGCACATACCTGGGTTCAGGTTCGATCCCCAGACCCAATCAGGGTAGTGTGGGAGGCAACCAATCAATGTTTCTCTGTCACATCGATGTTTCTTTTTCTCTCAATTTCCCTCCCTCCCTCCCTCTCTTTCCCCCTCTCCCTCCCAATCTATCTTAAAAAAAAAAAAAAAAAAAAAATCAATGGAAAAAATCCTCGGGTGAGGATTAATAACAATAACAAAAACCACAGGAACTCACCCATAGATGCAGAAAAAGCATTCGACAAAATCCAGCACCCATTTTTGATAAAAACTCTCAGCAAAGTGGGATTAGAGGGAACATACCTGAACATAATAAAGATCACATGTCTCTCTCTCTCTCTCTCCCCCTCCCTCCCTCCCTCCCTTCCATTCCCTTTAAAATACAATGGAAAAAATATCCTGGAGTGAGGATCAACAACAACAACAAAAAGAACAGACATATAGATCAATGGAACAGAGACCTCAGAAATTGACCCATGTCATTATGGTCAATTAATATTCGACAAAGGAGGCAAGAGCACACAATGGAGTAAAGATAGTCTCTTCAATAACTGGTGTTGGGAAAACTAAACATGTACATGCAAAAAAATGAAACTAGACCTCCAACTTACACCATACACAAGAATAACTCAAAATAGATAAAAGACTAAAATGTAAGTCACAAAAGCATAAAAATCCTAGAAGAAAAATGGACAGTAGAATCACAGACATCTCACATAGCAAAATTTTTGCCAATACCTCTCCTAGGGCAAGAGAAACAAATGGGACTATTTCAAACTAAAAAGCTTCTGCACAGCAAAAGAAATCATCCTCAAAATGAAAAGGGAACCCAGTGCATAGGAGAACATATTCACCAATGATACATCTGATATGGGGTTAATTTCCAAACTATGAGTTCCAAAAGAACTCATACAACTCAACACCAGGAGGATAATCCAATTAAAAATGTGCAAAGGACTGCAAACCAATGAGTCACAGGTTCGATTCTGGTCAAGAGCATGTGCCTCAGTTACAGTTCATCGCCCCAGTAGGGGTCGTGAGGAATGCAACTAGTCGATGTGTCTCTCTCTCATTGATTTCCCCCCCCACCCCCCACTCTATCTGAAGATAAACAGAAAAATATCCTCAGGTGAAGATAAGAAAAAAAAATGGGCAAAGGACCTGAATAGATATTTCTCCAAAGAGGACATACAGATGGCCAAGAGGCATATGAAAAAATGCTCAACGTCACTAATCATCAGAGAGGTGCAAATTAAAAACCACAATGAGGCCCTGGCTGGTTTGGGTCAGTGGTTAGAGTGTCGGCCTGCAGACCGAGTCCCGGGCTCGGTTTCCACTAAGGGCATGTACCTCCGTTGTAGTTTGTCCCCAGCCCTGATTCAGGTTGTGTGGGTGGCAGCTGGTCATGTTTCTTTCACATTGATGTTTCTCTCTCTCTCTTCCTCTCTCTCTCCCTCCTGTTCTATCTGAAGATAAATGCAAAAAAATAAAAAATAATAAATATAAACCACAGTAAGGTATCACACCTCACACCTACCAGAATGGCTACCATTGATAAATCAACAAATGGAGAAAAGAGAACCCTAGTACATCATTGGTGGGAATGCAGACTAGGCAGCCACCATGGAAAACAGTATGGAGTTTCCTCAAAAAATTAAAAATGGAACTGTGTTTGACCCACTGATCCCACTTCTGGGAATATATCCTAAGAAACCCAAAACACCAATCAGAAAGAATATATGTTCATAGCAGTGTTATTTATAACAGCTAAGATCTAGGAATAGCCCAAGTGCTCATCAGTAGATGAGTAGATTAAAAAAGCTGTGGTATATTTACACAATGGAATACTATGCAACTGTAAAAAGAAAGGATCTCTGATCCTCTGTGACAGCCTGGATAGACTTGGAGAGTATTATGCTACTTGAAATAAGCTCAGCAGAGAAAGACAAATATCACATTATCTCACTTATATGTGGAATCTAGTGAACAAAATAAACTGATGAACAAAACAGGTCCAGAGATAAGGATGCATGGAACAGACTGACAGATCTCAGACGGGAGGGGGAAGGGGGGACAGGAAGAGATTTACCAAAGAACTTATATGCATATGTACATAGCCCATGGACACAGACAAGAGTGTGGTGAAGGCCTGAGGTGGGCAAGGGCCGGGTGGAGAGGGGCAAAGGGCGAAGAAAATGAACATCTGTAATACTGTTACCAATAAAAAATAAATTAAAAAAATAAATAAAAGGAAAAAAATAGAGAATTGGTTGAAAGTACCAAAGAATCAAGAATCTTAAATCTCTTTCCCCACCCTCTTGTACCAGGCAACCCTATAAACAATTGAAGGTTGGAGTACCATGCTAAAAACAGGAGGCTGAAGTGACTACCTAATACAAAATGCTGAGACTCCCCTGCCCTCAACTCTCTTCCTTTAGTGGGCTTTCAGACTGTTGGCAGTCAAGCTTATAGTTTTCAATCAGAAGAGATCTAATAACACTGACACTGAGGCACCACTAATCCAGATCACTCTATAAAGCCCATAGCTGACAAGTTCCATCCATTGGCACACAGCTTCCGAATAGCCTCAATCTTAGATATGAATGAACAGCTGAGGCTCACCATACACTTTTAAGAAAATCTTAATATCAAGGAACAAAAATAAAAAAAGAGCAACCCAAAGGAAACAGAGACCTTGGAGGAAGAGATCTTAAAACAAAACCCCCAAACTATGATTAATGCTTTTATATATTTACTTTTTATTTTGTTAATCCTCATCTGAGGATATTTTCCCATTGATTTTTAGAGAGTGTGGAAGGAAGGGAGGGAGGATGGAGAGAGGGAGGGAAGGAGGGAGGAAGGGAGGGAGGGAGAGAGAGAGAGAGAGAGAGAGAGAGAGAGAGAGAGAGAGAAAACATCAATGTGTGAGAAACACTGACTGGTTGCCTCCCACAAATGCCCAACCAGGGCTGGGATTGAACAACCCAGGTAACATGCCCTAGACTGGGAATTGAACCCGAAACCCTTTAGTCCATGGGCCACTGCACTAACCCCTGAGCCAAACCAGCCAGGGCTATAATTAATACTTTTAAAGAGATAATAGGAGTTAAAAATATAATAGCAGAAATGCAAAATCCAATAGAAGTTAAAAAAGATTTTTAAAAAGACAAATTAGGAATTAGATTAAGATATGTTTGGTAGGACCAACATCGCCCAAAAAAGAGTGGGAGAGAGGGATGATAGGAAGGAAGGAAGAAAAGGAGAAATTTCCCAGAACTGAAGGAAAGAGGGATAGAAGAAGAAAGAGAAAAATATCCCAGAACTGAAGAAAATGAGCTTCCAGAGTCCTATGTAGCTATACATAAAGATGAGAATATAACCACACCAAGGGCATATGACTGTGATTTCCAAACACAGAACAAACTTAAAGCTTCCGAAGAAAAATGTCATGGGATTTCTCAACAATGATACTGAGAAGTAAAAGATAACAGAGCAATGACTTATTAATTCTGAAGGAAAAATATTTCAGAATTAAAATTCTATACTCAGCCATTTGATCAACTAAATGTGAAGACCTTTCAAACAAATAAGGTCTCACATTTTCTATTTCATGCATCTCTTCTTAGGAAGCCACAGGAGGATCTGATCCAACAGAATGAAGGATTACACCAAAAAACAGGAAGGCATGCAATCCAGGAAATAGGAAATCCAATTCAAGAGCGGCAAAAAGAATCCCCAGGATGATAGTAAAGAAATATCCCGGGATGACACTACGATAGCAGATTGAAAAAAGAAAAGCAAAAGCAAACCAGATGAAAGAAAGACAGAAGTCTCTGAAAAGCTGATGTAAACAGAATATGTATGAATGTGGCAAAAGGAGATTTATACTTGGAGTATAGGGAAGGGTTTGCATTGGGACAGTGAGAAAAAGAATCTTCATTTTTTTCAGAGCGGGAAAATGAATTGATAGATAATGCCTAAAACTGCAAAGTCAAGAAGCAGCAACATATCATTTAGAGGTATGGAGGTAAATACCAAAAGAAATAGCTTTAAAAAGAGCTGAATATGGGAAGGAGAATTGGAATAAGCTATATATAATGCTCTCATGTGTAACTTTTTTATAAAAGAAAAATATCAGAAGAAATGCAACAAAATGTTAATAGAGGTTAGCTTTGGAGGGTAGTGTATGGGTGATTTACAGTATTTTCTTTATACTTTTCTGTGTTTCCCACTTTCTACAATGAATACACACATATGTTTCTAAAACTCCTGTATCTAGAAAAACAGGTTTTCTGCAAGAACAGATTATGCAGGGGTTTTGTAGAGGAATGGCTGTTGTACCAGATCCTGGAGAACAGCACTCCTTTGAAGGTCACAGGACATCCAGGGCTGTTTATCAGATGTCAGGTGGGCTATGATGCCTGCAGCAAAATAGCTAACTTCAATTGTTTCACTACGGAGCAAGGCGCAGATATGCTTCACCACATCTTTGGTCACCAGCTTGGAAGAGAGTTCTCTGACTTCGGCTACATTGTTCTACAGGTAAAATGAAGCAGAGAATATCAGGAGCAGGAAAGGAGGAGAGAATCAGGACCTGGCTCCTCTCCCTCTCCTAATGCTCAGCTCAGATACATTGAAAACACTTAGTCTCATCCTGCTCCCTTTCTATTTAGCCTACTTCCCACAATCCCACTCTCTGATGATGACGATCAGCTATAACAATTAAGCACTTACTATGTGCCAGGCACAATACTAGATAGACAAAAATGTCTTTTTATCTACCTTATCTCATTCAATCTTTTTTAAATGGTCATACAAAGAAACCTGTCAGGTTAACCCTACTAATACTTGGTTGAACTAGAATATAAATCCAGGCCTCATTCAAAAATTTAACATTCCAGCCCTGGCCAGTTTGGCTCAGCGGTTATCAGAGCGTCAGCTTGCGGTCCAGAGAGACCTGGGTTCGGTCTCTGCTAAGGGCACGTACCTTGGTTGCGGTTTGTCCCTGGCTCTGGTTGGGTTGTGCGGGAGGCAGCCACTCGATGTGTTTTATTTCACGTCAATGTTTCTCTCTCTCTCTCTCCCTCTCTCTCCCTCCCACTCTATCTGAACAAACAAAAAAAGGAAAAATGTCCTCGGGTGAGGACAAAAAAAAAAAAAAAAATTAACATTCCAGGGAGTCAACTATATGTTATATTAGCTTGAAATTTAACAGTAAAAATGAAAGGCAGGTAGTATTTTCTTTATTTCATATATTATATTCATGTTCTATGCAGTATAACATATTGCTACAAACTTGGTGGCTTCAAACAACACACATTTTTCTCTCAGTTTCTGTGGGTGGAGCCCAGGCATAGCTTAGCTGGGTCCTCTACTCTGAGGCCTCACAAGGCTGCAGTCAAAGTGCCAGTTGGGCTGCATCTGCATCTAGTCCTAGCTGAGCCACCAGATGACTGCAGCTACGAGTACCTCCAAATGAGACCAGCACAATAATACAGCTCAACTGAGTTCAAACTGTTGACCCACAGATTCATAAGTAAATAAAATGGCTGTTGTTTTAAGCTGTAGTCTGTTCACAGCAATAAATGACTGATATATAATGGTATTTACTTTATAGGAATAATGTGAAAATTAAACGATTTAATGCATATCAACTGCTTACAAAAGTGCCTGGCATATAATAGGTACTATACGAATGTTAGTTTTCTGATTTTTAAATAATTAGAATTAACTCAAAACAAAACCTTACCAAAAGACCAAGTACTCTGCTTTGTATTGCCGACCCTGAAAAAGTCTGTCAAAAGAATACACAGGTTACTTTATCATGAAGAAAAGAACTTTATATATAAACTCAATCCTGAATTCCCACCTCTAAGACTTGGATAAAGATTGTCAATCCTTGATTTTCCATAAAGTGCTTGCAGGCAGCCGGAGACTCATCTGTAAGATTCCAAAGTGCTTTCAAAGTAAACAAGAGGGTGACATCATCTAAATTCTCAGTAGTCTTTTGTTTTACTATCGCTAGAAGTTCCTACAAACAAAGAGACAGGGAGTTAGATGCCCTAATGACTAACTCAATTCCAATAGAAGAAAAGCAACAGTTAAGAGAAGCTATAGAATCAAATCTAGGTTCTAAAAAGTTCTACTACTTAAAAGCTTTGTGATCCATTTTTCTCTATAAAATAAATTCACCTATCTCCTAGGGTTTTTCTGAGGATTAAAAAAAAAAAAAAAAATTAAAGTTTAATGACCACTTTAATCTAGTTCTTGGTGCTTGTTAATAAACCTATGGCCAATACATCAGCTTTCCATTATTCATTTATTGAGAATGTCTAGTTTTCACCGTCTGGAAGTCAGACACTCAGATTAGAGAGACAGATAAAAAAATAGTTGGTATTTGCCCTGGCGGATGTGACTCAATTAGTTGAGCATGAAACAGAAGGTCACTGGTTCAATTCCGATTCCTGGCCAGGGCACATGCCCAGGTTGCAGGCTTGATTCCCAGTAGGGGGTACACAGGAGGCAGCCAATAGATTTCTCACCTCTCTCTCCCCCTCCCTCCCTTCTGCTCTCTCTAAAATCAATAAAAACATTTTTAAAAGTGTTGGTTTTTCTCAACTAAATAAAACAAATTTAAGTTTTGGTAAATGCTCTGAAGGAAATACATAAAAGAATTTACTTATAAAATGTGGGAGAGGGGAGCCTTCATTCAAATGTAACATGTGAACTGAGACAGAAGAAAAAGAGGATTCCAGCCAGGCAAGGAATGGGGACATAGAGAGTAGAGGTGGGGAGAAAGAAGATGCCAGGCAAAGAAAATGTTTGCTGTTCTAGGCCACTTAACAGGTAAGGCTAGAGGATAACACTAGTTTCATAACCATTATGTCCTGATAGTTTAAAAGAAACCATTGGCTCTCTTTAACAGATATTCCAACATAGCATTTCAGATCAGAATATTTCTGGAGATAGTAAAGCTGGTATTTATGCTTTCTTTCAAGCATATTAGACTGTCATGTGAGAGGAAAAAGACAGCCATGTTCAAGCAACCAGTTAATAAAAAAAGATACGCAAAATGTAACAGCACTAACAAGTCAGAATGTCTGTTTTCAGAAGGAATGAGACAATCTCAAATATTATGTCCAACCAGGACAGAGTGTATCAAGAGAGTTCATTGCAAAACTAAAGCTTCGAGAGCCAAGAGAACATAATCATGGCACACAACACTTGTAGCAATCATCTAAATACCCAATAAGATAGATGGCAGCAAGATAAGGGAGGGAGCAGAGGAAGAGAGGCTGACCCTGAAAGTAATGACTGTGGCTAACCACAGAGTTAGATGCTCTGCATATTTTATCTTAAATGATACTCAAAATAACTGAAATACAGTATTACTCCTATGAGAGATGCCTGTTTTTCAAATGATGCCAGTTTTCAGATGAAGAATCTGAGGCACAAAGGGGATAAGTCTTATGGCTTAGTGGCTAAAAAATTTGGTTTGTTCTCATCTAAAGCCTAAACTACCTAAAACTACTTCTCTAAGAACTACAGTGCTATTCTTCCCTCCATGTCACTTTCAGTACTTGCTCTTTATTAATAGCAATATCTTTATCTCTCCATCTCTACTTCTATTCCTATTATCATTCCCAGGAACTTCAATGTTCCTCTATCACATCATTTTGGCAAAATTCCTACCTTAGTTAAATCTTACTTCATGCCCACCCCCAAGCATCTGAATGTTGAAAAAGATGTGTTTGAGCTTCTCTTTCATTATCTCCAAAAAATTTCAAAAGGGCATTCAACTGTACCTGGCAGTCCTACTACATTTCTCAATGAGTTTGCTCTAAAAAATAATATTTCATAATTCTCTCTCCTCAAATTTTAATCACTATCTTTTTACTCCTTTCATTCGATCACTTCATCTAATTTTACACTGAGAACTATAGCTATTCTTCCTAACAATATCCACCAACCTACTTGTACTTGCATCAGTGTATTCTGCCTTCCTTTCCGCTCCAATCTAAAGACAATATCTTTACTTCTGCTCTATGTACATCTTCTGTACACACAAAAATTTAGCACCAAAATTATTTCCTTCTGTCCTGCCTACAACACCATTTCCCCTCTTTTCAAAATTAGTCTCATGATCATAAAATATGTCTTAATGTAACCCATTTAGAAAGAAAATCTACTAGCCCCATATAGTATCTTTATTTCTCTGTTTTCTTTCTCATTAGAATATATCAAAAAGTTGTCTCCATTTCTCATCTTCCATTTGATCATCATCATTGTACTCCAGTCAGGTTTTGTCTCACTACTTCACTAAAATAAGCAAGCAAGATGACTAATGATTTCCAACTTGCCGGATCCAATGGTCAACTCTCTGTCTTCGTCTGGCTCAAACACTCAATAGCACCTGACATGACTGCCCAATTTATCTTGAAATAGTTCTCTTCGATTCTAAGATACCACTCTTTTCTGGTTTCCTAACTCGCTGGATGCTCCTTTTCTATCTCCTGTCCTGGATCCTCCTTTTCTTCCAACATACCTACTTCAGCTCTTTTCTTTTCCCTAATATATACTTCACACTTTCTAGGTGATTGCAACCCATATCAGAACTGATGACTGAGATTATTTCTATGGCCCTATCCAGTTCTCTGAGCTGCACCCCATATATCAAACTGCCTACTTGACATCTTGAGCATCTCAGAAATTAACACTTTCAAATGACTCTTGAATTTCAGCCCCCAAACCTACTGGGTAGATACCAAATACTCACAAGAGACTACTTAAAATAGCAATGCAAAAGGTAAAAGCCTTAGAAATAATTTTAAGAAATATGCATTATCAACATGAAGAAAACATCTACATACTTCTGGGGGACATGAAAGACTGAATAGAATATCATATGCTGTTTTCAGATAGGAAGAATCAATTATCACGAAGATGTCAATTCTTCTAAATCAATTTATAAATTTAACACAATCCCAATGAAAACAGGGCTTTTTTAGAACTAGACAAGCCAATTCTGGTGTTCACATAGAAAACAAACAGTGAAAGCACACCAAGGAAAGATCATAACTATCAGAGGTTTGATAAAGCGAGTAAATAAAAAGTCTGGCACCAGCATGTAAACAGACATACAAATTAACAAAACAAAGACCCTGGCCAGGTAACTCAATTGGTAGAGTGTCCTCTCCATACACCAAGGATGCAGATTCAATCCCCGGTCAGGGCATACACGAGAGGCAACCAATGAATGCATAAATAAGTGAAGGAACATATCAACATCTCTGTCTGTCTCTCAAATCAGTAAATTAAAAAATATTTCAAATTAATAAAATAGAATAAAATCCAAAAATAGGTGCAAATATATGGGAATTTAATATATGATAAAGATGGCACTGCATAATAGTGAGGAAAAGATCAATTTTTCAATCAAGGATACAGAGGCAACTGGGCAAACACTGAAAAGAAAAACAGACCCCAACATCTCAAAAAAAAATTCCAAGTGAATCAAATACTTATATGTTAAAATAAAGTAGAAAAAAGCAAACTATAGATAAAAATCTTGAGATTATTTGTAAAAGTAATCAGTGTGATATCAATCCCAGAAGAACTGATGCAAGGAAAAATTCAACCAAAAATTTTAAAATTATTGTATGGCAAAATAGGCCATAAAAATTAAAAACAGCCCTGGCTGGTTTGGCTCAGTGGTTGGAGCGTCGGCCTGCGGACCAGAAGGTTCTGAGTTCAGTTCCCACTAGGGGCACATACAAAAAAAAAAACAACCAAATCCCGGTCAAGGAGTGTGCAAGAGGCAACTAATCATTGCATGTCTCTCTCAAACCTCTCTCTCGCTCTCTCTCTCCCCATCCTCTTTCCCTTCCTTCCACTCTCTCTAAATATCAATGGAGCCCTGGCCGGTTTGGCTCAGCGGTTGGAGCGTCGGCCTGCGGTACAGAGAGACCCGGGTTCGGTTCCCGCTAAGGGCACGTACCACAGTTGCAGTTTGTCCCTGGCCCTGGTTGGTCGTGCGGGTGGCAGCCACTTGATGTGTCCCTTCACATCAATGTTTCTCTCTCTCTCTCTCTCTTCCTCTCTCTCCCTCCCGCTCTATCTGAACAAAAAATGGAAAAATGTCCTCGGGTGAGGATAAAAAAAAAAAAAAAAAAATCAGTGGAAAAAATTGTCCTCAGGTGAGAATTAACTAAAAAAAAAAACAAAACTAAAAACAGCCCTGGCCGGGTGGCTCAGTTAATCAGAGCATCATAAGGTTTTGAGTTCAACTGCTGGTCAGGGCACATGCCCAGGTTGAGGGTTTGATACTGGTCAGGGTATGTATGGGAGGAAACTGATCGAACTTTCTCTCTCACATCAATGTTTCTCTCTTTAAAAGTTAATAAAAACATATTCTCAAGTGAGGACTAAAAAAAAGTAAAAACAAATAGCCAACAAGAGAAAAACGCATGCATCTCATATTATAGTCAAATGTTTATTTCCTACCTGGCCTATATGGCTCAGTGGTTGAGCGTTAACCCGTGCACCAAGAGGTCACCGGTTCGATTCCCAATCAGGGCACATGCCTAGGTTTCGGGTTTGATTCCGGGTAGGGGGTGTGCAGGAGAATCGATCAATGTTTCTCTCTCACTGATGTTTCTCTCTCTCTCTAAAAATCAATAAAAAAATAAAGAAAAATCAAGAAACTGAAAATACAAAAGGTTTATTTCCTTAGTATATAAAAAAATACTATATATATTAGGAAAAAAAACCAACAACCCAAAAGAAAACCATAAAGGACATGAAGAGAGAGTTCTCAGGAAACAGAATTCTTTTTTTTTTTTTTTTAATCCTCACCCAAGGACATTTTTCCATTTTTTGTTCAGATAGAGTGGGAAGGAGAGATCGACATGAAAGGGACACATCGAGTGGTTGCCACCCGCATGACCAACCAGGGCCAGGGACAAACTGCAACCGAGGTACATGACCCTAGTGGGAACTACACCCAGGTCTCTTTGGACCGCAGGCTGACGCTCTAACCGCTGAGCCAAACCGGCCAGGGCAGGAAACAGAATTCTTAAGGAAAAAGAAAAGGTTCAGGCCTCATCTTAAAATAAGTGCGAAATAAAATGATGTATTATTTTTTAGTGAATAACATTGATATAATCATAATGTAAACACTAATTACTGATTTATTAAAATTGTGCTATAAGTTTGTTGAGTTTGGGGGAGAAGGTAATTTGTAGAGATATATGCAGAAGAGCTAAGTTCTTATTTACCATAGCAGAATCACTAGATATAATCTAAACCTGATAAATCAAGAAATTGCAAAAAAAATGTTTTTAAGCATTTTATTTAGAGATGTGGAGTAAAATACAAGAAATAGCTATACAATAAAGTAATTTACTCTGGGAAGCAGGCCTTAGAGATTTTTCATTTTTAAGCATTTTATAATGATCTTATATACTGTTCATAAGTTACTTTTTTCTTTTTCTTTTTAAAATATGTTTTTACTGATTTTTAGAGAGAGGAAGTGAGAGGAGGTGAGCGAGAGAGAGAAACACTGATTGGCTGCCTCCTACACACCCCTACCAGGGACTGAGCCTGCAACACGGGAATGTGCTGTGACTGGGAATTGAACTGGTGACCTCTCGGTGCCTGGGATCATGCTTAACCAACTGAGCCACACTGGCCAGGGCCATAAATTACTTTCACTGAAGAAGAAACAAACAAAAAAAGCTGTAAAAGTGACAATAAGCCTACCTTAATTGCCATGAAGAGCTCTTCCTTAAGTTGTGCAGTTTGCTCAGGTGAGAGCTATAAGCAAACAAAAAGCCGAAAAGTGAAACATCAGATCTCCATCAAAGCTCCATTAAGACTCAGAGGAAAGAGATCTTGCCCTTTAGCAATCACATACCTGCAAGGCTAGAATAGAGGTGACGCTCACTGCCATTGTTTGCATCTTGGGGTTTTCACGCTTACAGATCCATCTCATAACAAATTTGGCAGCATCAAACCTGAAAAGCAGTATTTTTCTCACAATCAAGTTTATAAAACTGTATATGGAGAAAGAAGAAATTACTTAACCTACCCCAACAAATCCTGTAACAAAAGTAATCTCAACTTCTAAAGCCTCAGTTATGAAAACCAAGAGCATCTGGCAAAAAGAGATCAGAAGAGGAAGAGAAGAACATGCAAATAAGAATGTGAGTGACTACCCTGTTCTTCAGACTGTTATGTTCAATATATTCCACAAATAAGTGAGATCATATGATACTTGTCTTTCTCTGCTTGGCTTGTTCTGCTTAGGATAATATTTTTCAGGTCCCTCCATGTCGTCTCAAAGGATAAGAGAGCTTTCTTTCTTACAGCTGCACAGTACTCCATTGTGTATATGTACCACAGCTTTTTTATCCATTTGTCTACTGATGGGAAATGTTTTCTTAAAAGTGTAGTAAATTTACTCAACAAACAGAAAAAAAAAAGAATGTGAGTGAGCCTGGCCAGTGTGGCTCAGTGGATTGAGTGTAGTCCCATGGACTGAGAGATCCTGGTTTGATTCTGGGTCAGGGCACAAGCCCGGGCTATGGACTCAATCTCCAGTAGGGGAAATGCAGGAGGCAGGTGATCAATGTTTCTCTCTCACATCAGTGTTTCCATCTTCTCTCCCTTCCTCTCTCTCAACTAAAAAAAAAAAAAAAAAATTTAAAGATTGTGAGCAAAATGCACAGGATTCAAAGAAAGATGGGCACATTTCAGAAAGATTTATTTTTTAGCATTCAGTTTCTACTATGATGAGTCTGAAAAAGAAGTTCAATGATAAGTAATCATTTGTAATCTAAACTGTAGACAGTGCTAAAATGCCACAGCAAACAAATCAGTTAGCTAGAAAGAATTCATGCCCTTTTACAGGGGCAGTTGTCACTCAGCTCTGATCATTGCCATGTAGGAACAAAGACTGAGTTGAGAAAGATCTTCCAAGTTTTCAAGAGAAGGCAGAAATAGGGATTATTTTTTTTTAATGAGGAGCACCACCTTCCCTATTGTTATTTTTAAAAGTCAACTCCCATTGTAAGTACACGTTTCATTTAGATCTGAGAATGGCTTAGCTTATACCAGCACCCATAAATCAGCTTTGTTCATGTGAGCCTGCGCTTAATTTTCCTGCTGTCGGCAGCAACTATTATAAATGGTTTTGAACTTATGAATCTGGAAGATTACAAAGGCCTCAAGAGGAATCACTTTGGAGTCTAGGATGAGGATTTTTAAAAATTATCATAATAAAGAAAATAATAACGAAAATAATGACTAATGTTTAGAACAGCCTGTACTTCTTAACCTAGGCACTATTGTGTACTTAACAAATATCACCGTATCTAATCCTTATAAATCACTATTTTACAAATGAGAAAACTTATGCACAGATAATAAAAGGGCTAGAACTTTCATTCAAGTATGTTTTTTGTTTTAATTAGAGAGAGGAAGGGAGAAAGAGAAACATCGATGTGAAGGAGACATTGGCTGCCACCCACATGACCCCATCTGGGGCAGGGGACAAACTGCAATCGAGGTACATGCCCTTAGTGAGAACGGAACCCAGGTCTCTCTGGACCACAGGCGAACGCTCTAACTGCTGAGCAAAACCGACCAGGGCTCAAGTATATTTTTGATTCTCTGGAGCCCCTGGTTTTACTACTCTGAAACCCTGAACTGGAATCACATTAAGGGAAACAACATTTGCAGACAGGGTACTTCCAATCACCTCTGTGGCAGAGGCTCAACAGAGCATTCTCCCCAAACACCCAATCCCAGCCTTAATCAGACCCTTGCTAAACTAATAACCTAAAAGCCAACAATGCTCAGAGAAACACTGGTCAACACCCCAAAATCAAATAAGTTTTATACTTGCCTGTCAAATGGAACATCCACAAGAATCCTGGAATTGGTTAAGGAGAGAAGACAATTCTTCTGTAACTTTAAGGGAATAAAGAACATTAATTTTGAGTAAATATGTACTTAATTCTAAGTAAAGGTTCTAAGCCTTTTTGTGTAACTGGCCCTCTCCAAATTCTTCACTTAATCTTGCCAATAAACTCTGTCACATACACCTTTGCCTAAAGAACAACCCCCCTGCCCCTCCTTTTATTGGCAAAGAGGGGTCTATGTGGAGAGTGGCTTCATGTATGTCAGTTCCAATCAATAACCTGAAGCTTAGCCCATCTACTAAAAGACAAATGTCTTTACCATTATCTCATAAATGACTATGCTAGAGCTTCTACTTTCTACCTAAGACAGGTAAGGGTTGAAATGGGCCTTTACAGATAGGAAAGAAAGCTATAGAAATACAGAAATATAACATCTCTTTGAAAAGCCTTGAGTAGGCCACTATGACAAAAGTATAGTGTACGAGGCAGGGGCAGAAACCTGAAATGCCAACAGAAACTAGGCAGTAACATAATAAACAAGTGAAGAGGGTTGAGTGTGAAATAACAGAGGAGTGGTAGGAATTATGGCAAACTAGAGAAGTCATGCCCTCTTGTAAGGGCAGTGGTTATTCAGCTCCAACTGATGATTGCCATGCAGAAATTAAGACTGAATTAAGCCCGGCTGGTATAGCTCAGTGGTTGAGCATTGACCCATGCACCGAGAGGTCCTGCTTCGATTCCTGGTCAGGGCACATGCCCAGGTTGTGGGCCTGATTCCCAGTTGGGGGCATGCAGGAGGCGGCCGATTGATGTTCTTTCTCATCGATGTTTCCATCTCTCTCTCCCTCTCCTTCCTCTCTCTCTCTAAAAATCAATAAAGAAAAAAAAAAGACTGAATTGAGAAGGATCTTCCAACTTTTTAAGAGAAAACAGAAACAAAATTTTTAATGAGGGAAGATCACCTTCCTTGCTGTATTTTAAAAAATCAATTTCCATTTTAAGTATACACTTCATTAGTTTGACAAATTTATACAGATGTGTAATCAACTACCCACACCACCACCACAATCAAGAAAAAAAACTCTATCACCACAGAGTGTTGCACTTTGCCCCTTCTAATCAATCCTGGCCTTGCAAAACCCCAGCCCCAGAAAATCACACTGTCATCACATATTAGTCTGTTCTAAGTTTTCACATAAATGGAATCATATAGTATCTACTCTTTTGTATCTGGCTTATTGTGCTCAGCATATGTTTTTGAGATTCATCCATATACTTCAATTGGTTCTTCATTCCTTTGTATTGCCAAATAGTATTTACTTATATGAATATATGTTTGCTTATTCACCTGTTGGACATTTGGAAAGATTTCAGTTTTGAGAAATTATAAAGATATTATGAACAGTTGTATATAAGTCTTTATATGGATATATGCTTTTATTTCTCTAAGAGTAGAATAACTGGGTAGTATGGAAGGTATATGTCTAATTTTTAAAGACTGTTGAACTGGTTGTAGTATTATTTTACATTCTTAACATCAATATATGAGAATTTCAGATGTTCCACATCCATGCCAAAACTTTGTCTTGTCAGTCTTTTTATTTCAATCAATCTAGGGGTTGTGCAGTAATAACTCATTGTTTTAATCTGCATTTCTCTGTAGACTGAAGATACTAAGCATCTTCTCATGTGTTCATTTGTCATCTGCATATCTTCTTTGGTAAAATGTCTTTTCAAATCTTATTCCTAGCCCTGGCCAGTTTGGCTCAGCAGTTAGAGCATTGGCCTGCAGTCTGGAGAGACCCGGGTTCGGTTTCCGCTAAGGGCATGTACCTCGGTTGTAGTTTGTCCCCAGCCCTGGTTGGGTTGTGTGGGTGGCTGCCACTCGATGTGTCCTTTTCATGTTGATGTTTCTCTCTCTCTCTCCCTCCTACTCTATCTGAACAAAAAATAGAAAAATGTCTTCGGGTGAGGATAAAAAAAAAATCTTATGCCTATCCTAAAATTGGTTTGTCTTGTATTACTGAATTAAGAGTTCTTTATATTCTGGATAATAGACCTTTATCATATATACAGAGTGGGGCAAAAGTAGGTTTATAGTTGATCATATGGAAAATAATACAATAATTAAATAATAATACAAAAATAAACTATTTTATGCATTCACAACTATAAACCTAATTTTGCCCCACCCTGTATAATGAGCATTTTTCTCAGCCTACAGCTTTCCTTTTCATTTTTTAATATTTTTCAGCATGTGCTGAAAAACATTTAATTTTTTTAATTATAATTTATTTTTATTTTATGATGTGTGCTTCTAGTATCCTAAGAAAACTTTGCCTACTACTAGGTCACAAATATTTTCTTCTAGAAGTTTTATGGTTTTAACTTTTATATTTAGATCTATGATTCAATTCAGCTTAATTTTCAATATAATGTTAAGCCTACAAGGATGCACCAGAAGTGTTAATAGATGTTTCTGGGCTACTGGTTTCTGAGAAATTTTTAAAATTTAAACCATATTGCTTATCCATATTTCCTATTTTTCTACAACAAAGATGATTTCCTTATCTATTCTCTCATTCTTTCTCTCTCTCTCAGATAGGATGAAAGTTAGAATTAAATAACACATATTATGCATGTATTTGTCCTGAAGTAAGAAGCAGAGTCAAGTATTCTTTTAAATTACCTGCTGGCAATGGGGGAAATTTTTCAGAGCCTTGAAAAGTAGACAGATGACCTCTGACAACAGACGAACAGGCATTCCCCTGGCCAGGCCCTGGCGTGTTAAGTTGAGGGCGCAAGCACTGGCTGTGAACTGCACTGGCAAATCCAATGGATGGTTCCTCATTCCTACAGCCACAAGCTAAAGATGAACTTGTTTTTAGTTGCTTATGACAATATTAGCATTCTTTATACTGTCTTGTGTTTGTGTTAGTAGTTGGCAAAAATATTTGCTCATTAGGAGAGAAAGTAAGATTTTCCCTGTCCTCAACATTTGTTTTTTGAACACCAGTAATACCCTCTAGTCCAAATGCAGCCATTAACTAGCTGTGTGATTTTAGGTAAGTCAGTTTCCTTCTCTGGACCACCATTTACTCATCTGTGATTTCATAATCATTTACTTAATTAGGCTCACTTAATTTTTGGCATTGCAATAAGCACTACAGGGAACATAAACATGATTCACTTATAATCTATTCCTTAGCATAAAACCTTGTGAGAGATAAATTATGTAAACAAATAACATTGTGAAAGATGTCAAAACATGAAACAAAAACAAAAAAACAAAAGCACAAAGAGGTATAAAGTGCTGCCTAAGGTAGTTCTAGTGGCAGCAATTATTTCTAGTAATGGAATCAAAGGGCTTAATTTCAAGAGCACATTTAGGCAAGGGTCTGAGATAGGATGTGGACAAAAGCAGATGGAGGTGGGGGTGGAATGGAGAGGAGAGTCCCAGGGAAGGAAAATGTGACAGTGAAAAAACACAAGGTGGACAACGGGATGGAATCACCCACAGAGGAGAAAGAAATCTGAATTTGGAAGAATTTGAAAAGTGGTAAAACAACATTTAAAATGCTAAATAGAAGATAGACTATATGGAAGACCTAGAACACAAATGTAAGTGAAGGTGCTGCACCACACTTAGACCACACCTGCTATAACATTCAGGGTCAATGTGATCTGTTTTGTCTATCAAATAGGGATAATCAGCCCTGGCAGATGTGGTTGTTTGTGGGAGCATCGTCCAGTGCACCAAAAGGTGGTGGGTCTGATTCCTGGTCAGAGCACATACCTGGGTTTAAGGTTTGATCCCTGGTCAGAATGTGTGCAGGAGGCAACCAATCAATGTGTCTCTCTCACATCAATGTTTCTCTCCGTCCCTCTCTCCCTCTCCCTCTCTTTCCTTTCCATTCTCTCTAAAAATTAATGCAAAAAATCTTCTTGAGTGAGGATTAACCAAAAAATTTTAATTAATTAAAAATAAATAATAAAAAAGAATAGGGATAATCATTCCTACCCACCTCAGCAATAGGTCTGCTGATACCCACATGAACCATGGTATTTTTTATTTGTTTTCAAATATGTTTTTCTGAAATTGATTTTTAGAGAGAGGAGAAAGAGGGAGAAAGAGGGAAACATTGATCAGCTGCCTCCCGCATACCCCTACTGGGGATCAAGTCCACAACCTGCGTGTGTGCCCCCACCAGAAATCGAACTGGCGACCTTTTGGTGCATGGGACGATGCTCACCCAACTGAGCCACACTGGCCAGGGTACATGAATTATGATTTTAAGAGACCAGAGCACCTCATTTTGACAACTGGATGAATTCATGGAGTGTATAACAGACCTGGGATATACTTAGTATTACTATGGAAAATGACTTTTTCTATGTTGCTAAACTATTCTTAGGAGTTCACTGGATTATCAGCATCTGTAATTTAAATATGTAGAAACAAAAAAAACCCCAGGATTTTCAAAAATCACAGATTCTTAGATATAAAAGGACTTTTAGTTCATCTAATTCAATCTCATTACAGATGGGAAACAAGGGTCCAGAGTTTTCTCTACACAGTATTGCTTTTAAATTATAAATAAAATCTAATCTCCCATGGTACAGAAATAGTCATATTTTTGAGGAACTGCAAAAAATTTCAAATAATAATGACAAGGTGAGTTTAAGATTCTTTATTTTCATATTTCACTTATTTTTTGGGTTTTTGTTAGTTTGTGTGTGTATGTGTGTAAACAATATTCAATCCACTGGGCCACACCAGCCAGGCTCATATAATGTTAAATAACTTCAATTTTGTTTTCCAAACTACTTAATACTTCTAATTACATTTAAAATAAACTAAAGTGCCCATGGATCAAAGGGTCACAGGTTTGATTCCCAGTCAAGGGTACATACCTGGGTTATAGGCCTCTCTCTTTCTGCCCCCGCCGCCCCCTTCCACTCTACTTAAAAATCAATGGAAAAATATCCTTGGGTGAGGATTAACAAAAATAAATAAATAAATAAATAAATAAATAAATAAATAAATATCCTTTTCTCAGTGAGAAACATTGGATGATTCAAAATTTAAAACACTGGATGATTCAAAACGGGAGATGATCTGGCAGTTAAACCTAACACTGTTTTCCTTTCTCTATAAGGGCATTTTGATTTACTATAGAATGAGGCATATAAATTAATGTATTCAATGTGTCTAGTGAACAATTTTAATTGAATCAAGTAAGAAATAATAAAAACTACCTGCCCTGGCCAGTGTGGTTCAGTTGGTTGGAGCATCATTCCAGATACCAAAAGGTAGCAGGTTCAATCCCTGGTCATGGCATGTATGCAAGGCAACCGATTAGTTTCTCTCTCCCCCTTCCTCTCTCTAACAAGATCAATAATAAATAAATAAATAATTAAATGGGGAAAAAAATGAATGAATAATGGCTCTTTAAAACACACATATACACAGAAAAACTACCTGAGGTGTACTTACCTTTAAAATAGCAGGCATGGTTACCTGCATTGAAAACGTTTCTGTAAAGAGCCTGTAGAGGGCTTCCTTCATAAAACATGACCTGTTCCTGTACTGGCTCAATGCTTCTGAAATCTGATTCATACTGACTCCTCCAGCAACCTGAAAAACAAAGATGTTATCAATAGGTTTCACTGTTCACCTTCAAGCACAGGCTTTTAGGAGCCTCCAGTGAAAAAATAGTAAGTGTTGAATTAAATTTTCCAGGTGCTGTTTTACAAAGTTGCTCTCAATCACAAATCTAATAGGTAAATGTTCTCCTCAACCTCGTTTTGATACATGGGGCCAGAGAGGCGAGGTATATTGCTAAATGTAACAAACCAATTAAGTGGTGAAGCCAATTCAAATACCATCCCTTACAACTATATTACAGTTAAGACTTCAAATGAATAATGGGTAGCATGTAAATTTTTAAACAATCAGTAACCGTGAATACATATGTCTTCTAAATACTCAACAGGGTAAATTAGACAATAGACAAAAGGTCACATAAAATAACTAAAATGAAAAAAGAGTTGACCTTTTTCAGTAGTAGTAGTATTTTTACTTGTTTATTATTTATTTAATATTAATATAATTCTTCCTTGCTACCACTGAGGAAGTAATTTCAAAATTAGGACCCTCCTGATCCAAACCATAAAATCAACAAGTAATGTAAATAAAATTAGATATAACCCAATTCTCAGCATCATTGGGTAGTGAAGAAAAAGAAAGGGGGAAATTTCAGGATCTTGAAAAATGAAAAGAAAAACCCCTTCTCCTCTCACCATGATTAGTAACATCATCATCCATTGAAAAAATCTCAAATCACTACATTGACAGGAGAGTACTGTTTTAAAAATATTTTTTAAATTGATTTTTAGAGAAAGGAAGGGAGAGGGAGAGAGAAAAACATCAATGTGAGAGTGAAACATCAATTAACTGCCTCCTGCACACCCCTGACTGGGGATCAAGTCCGAAACCCAGGAATGTGCCCTGACCCAGAAGTGAATCAGCAACTTTTCAGTGCATAGGCCAACACCCAACCGAGCCACACCAGCCAGGGCAACAGGGGAGTGATTTTGAATTAGGAACCCATTAAATGCCAGTAAATAAAAAAATTCAAATCAATTCCACATAAAGCCTTATAAGAAAATTTTTAAAAAGCCAATCTAATAAAAATAAAAATATATATGTATATATGTATATTTAAAAGCCAATCTACACATTTCAGCTGGAAAAACTTCTTATAAACCAACAAATCAGAAGAAAACTGTATCACAGCATTTTAAACAAAATTAAATATTCTCAATTAGCATTTTAGAATATGAAAAAACACCTTCAACAAAAAGATGAAGGGTTTATTAAGTTTAAAAAAAATAAACAGTCCCGCTGGTGTGGCTCAGTGGTTGAGCATCAGCACATGCACCCAAGAGGTTGCTGGTTCAATTCCCGATCAGGGCACATGCCTGAGTCCCTGGTTCAGTCTCCAGTAGGGGGCGCGCAGGGGGCAATCTATGTTTCTCTCCCCCCACCTTCTTCTCTCTCTAAAATCAATAAAAAACATATCCTTGAGTGAGGATTTTTTAAAAACTAAGAAAAAAATGAGGGCACTATGTGTTTCAGGATGTGATACTCTTGAGAAGACAGGGTATCTCTTACATGATGTTCCAGCCAGAGATGAACACCCTGATGTAATTAGGAGGAAACATCAAAGCCAAAATGAGGAACATTCTTCAAAAATGCCAACAAAACAAAGTTATGTTCTTCAAAAATATCAATATCACAAAGGACAGGAAGGACTAAGAATAACTTTCAGATTAAATTATAAAGAGACATGACAACTGAATTAAAAAATAAACCTGGCCCTGGCCGGTTTTCCCAGTGGTTAGAGCATCAGCCTGTGGACCAGAGTCCCAGGTTTAATTCCACCCAAGGGCACGTACCTCGGTTGCGGTTTGTCTCCAGCCCTGGCTGGGGTTGTGCAGGTGGCAGCCACTCAATGTGTTTCTTTCATATAGATGTTTCTCTCTCTCTCTCTCTCTCTCCCCACCCTCCCTCCCACTCTGTCTGAAGATAAATGTAAAAATATCCTCGGGTGAGGATTAAAAAAAAAAAGATCCTGGACTAAATGAACAAGTATTTTATAGAGGGCAGTACTAGGATAATCAACACTGAAAATATGTACAGATTATATAAAGTGTTGCATCAATGTTAAATTTCCTAAAATTTGCTAATTGCACTGAGGTCATTAAGGAGAATATCCTCACTTTTAGGAAATACAAACTTAAGTATTAAGGGATAGAAGGGCATAATGTGCAACCTACTCTCAAATGATTCTGAAAAAAATTGTGTGTGTGCTGCCCTAGCCGGAGTAGGTCAATTGGTTGAGCATCGTCTCATGCACCAAGAAGTCACCAGTTATTTATTTTTTTATATATATTTTTTAATTGTGTGTGTATAGAGAATATGATAAAACAAATGTGGCAAAATATTCCAAATTAGTGATCTGCATGTTAAAAGTTATTTCAAAACAATTTCTAAAGTATTATGCATACATATATTGCCCAAGGACCTACACATTATTAAGAATGAGTCAAGGTAGGGAACCTTTTTTCTGCCAAGGGCCATTTGGAAATTTATAACATCATTTGCAGGCCACACAAAATTATCAACTTAAATATTAGCCTGCTCTATTTTGGTCAGGCTAATTTGGTGAGGCATGTGATGTTAGCTAGTATTAATTTCACAGACCTTATATAGCCCACAGGCCAAGTGTTCCCATTCCCTGACCTTGAAAGGATATATTCTAAAATTTAAGAATTTTGTGATCATCCAGATGTAAGAGATGAAACAAAGGGTAAGCCACAGGAAGACCAAAGAGAAGACCAAACAAAAGATATCATCATCCTCTCTCCTTAGCTTCCTGGGATGCCATTACAAAACATTCCTCCCTAAGGGATTTGTTATACCCCACCAGTGGATCAATGAGAATTTCCTAGCAAATAAAAATGTTGCATGGTTGTTGTTTTTTTAATATGTTTTTATTGATTTTTTACAGAGGGATAGAAACATCGATGTGAGAGAGAAATATTGACTGGCTGCCTCCTGCATGTTCCCTACTGGGGATTGAGCCCACAATCTGGGCATGTGCCTTGACCGGGAATCAAAACAGGACCTCTCAGTCCATGGACCAACGCTCAATCCACTGAGCCACACCAGCCAGGTGCATGTTTTTTGGGTTTTTTTTGTTTTTAATCCTCACCTGAGGATACTTTTCCATTTATTTTTCAGACAGAGTGGGAGGAGGAGAAAGAGAGAAAAAAAAACATCTATGTGTGAGACACAATGATTGGTTACCTCCTGCACAACCCTGACAAGGGTGGGGGACCAAACTGCAACTGAGGCACGTGCGCTTGACAGCAATTGAACCCATGACTCTTTGGTCCATGTTCCATGGGCTCTAACCGCTGAGCAAAACTTGCCAGGTCACAGGTGCATGGCTTTAATACTAATAATGGGTGCCCTTTCTACCCATTTTACTTTAAAAAAAAAAAAAAAGAAAGAAATTATTAAAATAGCCCTGGCCTGTTTGGCTCAGCGGTTAGAGCGTCGGCCTTCGGTCCAGAGAGACGCAGGTTCGGTTCCCGCTAAAGGCACGTACGTACCTCGGTTGGTTTGTCCCTGGCCCTGATTGGGTCCTGCGGGTGGCAACCACTTGACGTGTCCCTTTCACATCGATGTTTCTCTCTCTCTCTCTCTCCCCCACTCTATCTGAATAAAATACAGAAAAATGTCCTTGGGTGAGGGTAAAAAAAATAATTATTAAAATAACATACAATATTAGTTTCAGATATATGTTATTCAATATTTATATGCCTAATAAAATGATCACCATGGTAAGTCTAATAAACCATCTGACAGTGTATACAGCTATTACCATATTATTGACTATATTCTCTATGCTGTACATTACATCCCTGTGACTTATTAATTTTAAAACTGGAAATTTATATATCTTATTCACCCATTTTAAAGGAATTCAGTACATTTCCCATTCTAATTTTGGATACAACAATTAACATACTTGTTCTGTTTGAAGGTTTTCACTAACATTTAATTTTATCCATTTTAATGTAAGCAAATTTTTAATCAACCCAAACAAAAAGACTTAATATATTTTACATCTAATTTAAAATATATGCATTTCTATTAAGTGAAAGGTTTTCGGAAACACACCTTTTATTTATTTATTTTTAATATGTTTTTATTGATTTTTTTATGGAGGAAGGAAGAGACAAAAACATCAATGTGAGAGAGAAACAACAACTGGCTGCCTCTTGCACGCTCCACACTAGGGATTGAGCTGCAACCCAGGCATGTGCCCCTAGTGGGAAATGAACCGGGATCTCTCAGTCCATGGGAGGACACTCAATCCACTGAGCCACACTAGCCAGGCTGAAATATACCTTTTAAACTTACCATACCTTACACTCCACAGAAGGCTGAATTAAGATCTTTACAGTTCCTTAGTAGTGGAAAGATGGTGGTCTCTCCTCTCCAACCCCCAATATCTAACACTGTATATAATGCACAATTTTAAAAATTCAAAATAAACTATACTTACATGTATACCAGATAAGTTTACTGAAACAAAACTTCCCATTTTCTGTTGTACCTGCTTTGGTAGTTAGTATCTTAACTACATGCATAATCCCTCTATAGAATACTATTGCATATGCCAAGAGTTCATATGCTAAAATCTTTTTATTTATTTATTTTTTAAATCACTGTGGGGTTTTTTTGTTGTTGTTGTTGTTATCCTCGCCTGAGGACACTTTTCTATTTTTTGTACAGATACAGTGGGGGGGGGGGGAGAGAAAGAGAGAGAAATTGACATGAAAAGGACACATAGAGTGGCCACCTCCCTCACGACCCAACCAGGGCCGGGGACAAACTGCAATCGAGGTACATGCCCTTAACGGGGACTGAATCAGGTCTCTCTGGACCACAGGCCGATGCCCCAACCGCTGAGCAAAACTGGCCAGGGCATCACTGTGGTCTTTTGATCACTGTAATATTAAATGCTATTAATCTTAAACTAGCTTACATAAACGTTTCTAATAAACAATTCTCTACAGTATGTATTTACTCTGAAAGTTCAAATTACATCTCTATTTCAAGCCTAATGATGTAACTGACGGCTTCCACCTTCATTAGAGATGCCAGAAAATGAAAAGGACTTTAAAATACAATTGCTGCCCTGGCCGGTGTTGCTCAGTGGTCAGAGCGTCAGCCAGCACATCAAAGGGTCATGGGTTTGATTCCCTGTCAAAGGCACATACCTGGGCTGCAGGTTGAATCCTGGTCCCAGTCAGAACGCATGCAGGAGGCAACCAATTGATGTTTCTCTCTCCTCCCCAACCCTCCCTGCCTCCCCCTCCCTTTTACTCTCTCTAAAATCAATGGGAAAAAAATCCTCTAGTGAATATTAACAAAAATAAATAAATCATTTAAAAAATACAACAATTGCTGCTTTCCAAATTAAAAAAATAAAATATAAAAACAACTAATGACTACAAATCGCTTTACTCTTGTCCTGGGAAAAATTACATAAGGTATAATCATAAAGAAATGGTTTTTGTTTATTTTTCAAGCAGCGGTTCTGAACCTTGGTTGCACATTAAAATTACTGGGAGCTTTAAAAATCTTGATGCTCTAGGCCAAATCCCAAACCTATTAAATCCCTGGGTGATAAGACACAAATATCGGTGTATTTTAAAGCTTCCAAAGTGATTAAAATGTACAATTGAGGAAGATAACCACTGTTCTAAAAAAATATATTCTGGAACATAAATATATATATGCTGCTTTAAAAATAGCACCATAACTTGGTGAAAGAAACAGACATACAAGTCCAGGAAGCAAAGAGTCCCAAACAAGATGAACCCCAAGAGGTCCACACCACCAAGACACATCATCAAAATGCAAAAGGTTCAAGACAAAGAAAGAATATTTTTTTGTTTTGGTACATGCTCCTAGCAGGAACCGAACTTGGGACTCTCTGGTCCACAGGCCGACGCTCAACCGCTGAGCCAAAGTGGACAGGGCCAAAGAGAGAATCTTAAAAGCAACAAGAGAAAAGCAGTTAGTTACCTATAAGGGAGTTCCCATAAGACTGTCAGCTGATTTCTCAAAAGAAACTTTGCAGGCCAGAAGGGGGTGGCAAGAAATATTCAGAGTGATGAAAAGTAAGAACCTACAACCAAGATTACTCTATCCTGCAAAGCTGGCATTTAGAATTGATGGCCATATGAAGAGTTTCCCAGACAAGAAAAAGCTAAAGAAGTTCATCACCACCAAATCAGTATTATATGAAATGTTAAAGGGTCTTCTTGAAGAAAAAGAAGATCAAAAATATGAAAAAACAAATGGCAATAAATCTATCAACAATTGAATCTACAAACAAAATGAACAGGCAGAACAGAAACATTCACAGAGAATATTTTGTTGGCTGCCAGATGGGAGAGGGGTTGGGGGAAATGGATGAAAAAGGTGAAGGGATTAGGAAGTGCATATTGGTTATTAGACTGATAAATCTCAAAGGGAAGGGAGATGGGGGGGGATAAACCAAAGAACTTATATGCGTATATGAAAAACCAATGGACACAGAGAACAGTGTGGGGAGAGGCAGGAGGGGGGCGGGAGTGGGGACGAGGGGATCGATAGGGGAAAAAGGAGGAACATCTGTAATATATTCAACAATAAAGATAAGTTAAAAAAATAAAAAAGACATTTACACTTAAAAAATGAGATGAGCCCTGCCTGATTTGGCTCAGCAGTTAGAGCATCGGCCTGCATTCCGGAAAGACATGGGTTCGATTCCTGCTAAGGGCACGCACCTCAGTTGCAGTTTGTCCCCGGTCCTGGTTGGGTCATGCAGGAGGCAGCCACCTGAAGTACCCCTTTCACGTCACTGTTTCTCTCTCTCTCTCTCTCTCTCTCTCTCTTCCTCTCCCTCCCACTCTATCTGAACAAAAAATGGAAAAATGTCTTCGGGTAAGGATTAAAAAAATAAAAAAATGGGATGAGCCCAGCCAGTGTGACTCAGTGAATTGAGGGAAATATATAACACTGAATGTACATATTTAAAAAAAGAAAGATCTAAAATCAATAATCTAACCTTATACTTTAGAAAACTAAAAATGGAGCATCAAATCAAATTCAAAATAAGCAGAATAAATAATAAAAATTAGAACAGAAATAAAAAAAAAATTGAAAACCAAGAAAAAAAAGTAGCACCATGAGGCACTGGCCAGGTAGTTTAGTTGGTTACAGCACTGTCCTGATTATGCCAAGGTTGTGGGTTCAATCCCTGGTCAGGGCACATACAAGAATCAACAAATGAGCCCTGGCCAGTTTGGCTCAGCGGTTAGAGGAGACCTGGGTTTGGTTCCCGTTAAGGGCACATACCTCGGTTGCGGTTTGTCCCCGACCCTGGTTGGGTCATGCGGATGGCAACCACTCAATGTGTCCCTTTCACGTCGATGTTGCTCTTTTTCTCTCTCCCTCCCCACTCTATTTGAACAAAAAATGGAAAAGTGTCCTGGGGTGAGGATTAAAAATAAAATAAAAGGAATCAACCAATGAGTGCATAAGTAAGTGGAACAACAAATTGACATTTCTCTCTCTCTCTCTCCCAAATTCATTACAAATAATTTTTTTTTTTTTTTTTTTAATCCTCACCCGAGGACATTTTTCCATTTTTCGTTCAGGTAGAGTGGGAGCGAGAGAGAGGAACAGAGAGAGAGACAAACATCGACGTGAAAGGAACACATCGAGTGGCTGCCACCCGCACAACTGACCAGGGCCGGGGACAAACTGCAACCGAGGTACATGCCCTTAGCGGGAACCGAACCCGGGTCTCTCAGGACCGCAGGCCGACGCTCCAACCGCTGAGCCAAACTGGCCAGGGCACAAATAATTTTTAATAGCACCACAAAAGGCTATAAACTTACTCCAGCATTATTTAAAACTTAATTCTTAAGATTTTAAAAATTGCTTTGTGTCTATCTTCAACAAAAATGGTGTTAACTATGTTGATCACCTGCCCATTAGTTATATTTAGCTATTAATAGAGGTGAAGAACACAAGTTTTAGAGTCACATAGACTTGCATTCAAGTCCTAGCTATACCACTTAATAGTTCTATGATTGTGGATAAGTAGCTTAACCTCCCTGAGCTTCCATTCCCTCAGCTATAAAATGGGAGGATTAAAGCAGAAAACCACGTGCACAACATGACATCTGGCACAAAGGAAGTTATATATAAATGACCACACTTGTCCAGCCAGTGTGGCTCAATGGTTGAGTGTCGGCCCATGGACCAATAGCTTGCCAGTTCGATTCCTGGTCAGGGCACACACTTGTGTTGTGGGCTTGATGCCCAGCAGAGGGAGTGCAAGAGGCAGCCAATGGATGTTGATATTTCTCTCATCAACGTTTCCACCTCCCTCTCCCTCTCCCCTCTTCTCTCTCTAAAATCAATAAAAACATATTTAAAGAAAATAAATAAATGACTGCACTTATCATTATAAAGCTAGCCTAAAAGGCATGGAGGCCAGGACTGTATCTTATTTAAGATTATATTTCTACAACCTACCACATAATAGCTACACAATAATTAATTATGCTCAAGAATGTTTTTATCTGTATCTGTAACCCTAACACCTAGATTCAGATACACAACAAAAGCTTAATAATGTTCTGAACAAATGAAACAAACTTATTTCAGATAAGAACAAACCCTCAAGCCTTGCTTTGTAGTAAAGAAGTCAGAATAACCAGCATCTGTAGCCAATAGTCCCACAAATCGCATTGCAGGCCGCTGCCGTATAAACAGTTCTACAGCTCCATCGGTGATGCAACTGGCCCCCGAAATATCCAGTGACACAACATTAGGTAGAATATCCTTCTGCTGTAGCAAATGAAAAGCTAGATCCGATTCGACTTGCCTGTGATCAGAAATATCAAGGTGAAGTAGACATTTAAGTTCTCTAATAACTGAAAGAATTTGTGGTTTGGTCATGGTCAGGCATTTCAGATAGTGCATTGTGAGAGATTTGAGTCGATCCTTACAAGTAAGGAGTGAAGAGATGTCAGTGACCAGAGTATTGGAGATATCCAAGCTTTCCAGTTTTGGTAACTGAGAAACATTAGCCAGGTCTTCGCTATGAAAACAAACATTGAAAACACTTAAAACACGAAGTCCAGTGAGCTGACCAAAGAACATTAGTTTTGAATCCTGACGGATGCTTGTAGAGTCCAACAGCAGACACTGGAGGTTTTGCTGGATCCAGCTATTGCTGCAGAGTCCACGTAGGATGTCTGAGATTGGAAGATCAGTGTCCACAGCAGTAGCATCCAGTTCAATAAGTTTGTGATGGCAGAAAGCTTTTATGAATGCACTTGTAGAGATTTTAGCTTTTTGAATATTGACCAGCTTCAGTTTCATTTGGTTGCCTCGGAAAATGCTCGCTGTTCTATCAGTCAGCTTGCCTACAAAAGAACCAGAACCCATTTTGTAATAACTAAATCTCATGCCTTTTCCAGGAGGTATGGCTAATGAACAATGACGGATCCTAATAATAACAATAATGACCACTCTGTGCCAAACATTGTTTTAAACCCTTTCCTCAGACTGTATAATTTACTCTCTACAACAATACTATAAAAAACCTATTACTATTTACCATCTTACAGTTAAACAAAATAAAGCTTAAAGAAATTAAATAACATGTTCAAGGCCCAAATACTGGCAGAATCAAGAATCAAAGCGAGCTCTGGCCGGTTTGGCTCAACAGTTAGAGCGTCGACCTGCGGTCCAGAGACCTGGGTTCAGTTCCCACTAAGGGCACATACCTTGGTTGCAGTTTGTCCCTGGCCCTGGTTGGGTCGTGTGGGTGGCAACCACTCGATGTGTCCCTTTCATGTCGATGTTTCTCTCTCTCTCTCTCTCTCTCTCTCCCTCCCACTCTATCTGAACAAAAAAAATGGAAAAATGTCCTCAGGTGAGGATTAAAAAAAAAAGAATCAAAGCGAGTTGGACTCCAGAGCCCAGTTTTATCCATATCAACCTTGTTCACAGAAAAAAGAACAAAATAAAATAGCTAAGTATAAAATATATAGTATGCAAATATCACTATTAATGATCACTTTTAATCAAGTTACTGGATAGCCTTTGACAAGTCACTTACCTCTTGGGGCTTCATTTTCCTGATCTATAAAATAAGTGGGTTGTACTAGATTTTATTTAGGAAAGATTTACTAAGTATCTTCCATGTGTGAGATCCTGTGTTAAATAATGGGCACAAGGTAAGAGCAGAAACCTGTTTCCAAGGAATTCAGTCTGGGAATGCACGTAAGATAAATTATTATGATAGTATATTGTTGTAGTGATTCAATTTAAAGGTACTGAATTAGGCCCTGGCCGGTTTGGTTAAGTGGTTAGAGCATCGGCCTGTGGACCAGAGAGTCCCGGGTTCGGTTCCCACTAAGGGCATGTACCTCTGTTGCAGTTTGTCCCCGGCCCCAGTTGGGGTTATGTGGGTGGCAATCACTCGATGTCTCTCTTTCACATTGATGTTTCTCTCTCTCTCTTCCTCCCTCTTTCCCTCCCGTTCTATCTGAAGATACATACAAAAATGTCCTCGGGTGAGTATTAAAAAAAAAAAAGGTATTGAATTAGTACAGATGAGATTAACTTTGGGTAGTCTTTTTATTTTTTAATTGATTTAAGAGAGAGAGAGAGGAAAGGAGGGAGAGAAACACTGATTTGTTGTTCCACTTATTTATGATTTCACTGTTTGATGCTTGTTTGTGTCCTGACCAGGAATCAAACCAGCAACCTTGGCATATCAGGACGATGTTCTAACCAACTGAGCTACCCAGCCAGGGCTTATCTCTGGATACAGTTTTGAAGAGTAAATATCACTTTGCAAAGGGGAAGGTGAAGAGTGGAAGAACATGTCAAAGACATGAAAGCACAGAACAGCAAATTATTCGGAACGACCCTAAAGCAAATCAGCACTAATGGAACATAGTGTTCAAGGGAAGGCATAGCTGGAAATGAGAGTAGAGAGGAAGGTAAAAGGTAGATGGGGCCTACACAAGATAGAAAATTAAGATTTTTAGGAACAATTCAAAAACTTTAAGCAGAAAAATGAATCGATGAATGGTCCTAATTATATTTTAGAAAGACCAACTATGTGATAGTATAAAGGAATTAAGATGGTGTTTGATGAGAATGAGATGGAGCAAGAGATTATTAATAATTTTAATCATGAGAGATGAAAAATTAAACTAGACAGAACATGGCAGCTGAATGGACTGGGGGAAAGGACTGTGGAAAAAGGTATGTAAGCTGATTCCCAGGTTCCCAATTTGAGTTGGGTTGTGCTACCAAGATAAGGAAGGAAGCCCCTATACTTCAGGCTTTGACAAGGAACTTAGTACGTTCATTCACACATTTACTCAACAAATAGAGTGCTCACTGTATGCAAAATGTTATGCTAGATGCCAAGTATAGGGAATGAGATAGACATGGATCCTGCCCTTATGGAGTTTATTTACATCCTAGAGGGAATATACACACACAAGAGAATACATAACAAGCAGAATACTAGTAACATTGAAAATATAGTTAAGCAAACAAGAACATAATAAAGGGGTAAGGAAATGAAGGAGGACAAGAATCTTCTATTCTGTGTGGTTTAAGGAGGTAACATTTAAGCTGAAATATAAAAGATATGAAAGGCAAAGGTAGCCCTGGCTGGTATGGCTCAGCGGTTAGAGCGTCAGCCTGCGGTCCAGAGAGACCCAGGTTCGGTTCCTGCTAAGGGCACGTACTTCGGTTGCAGTTTGTTCCTGGCCCTGGTTGGGTCGTGTGGGTGCGACCACTTGATGTGTCCCTTTCATGTAGATGTCTCTCTCTCTCTCTCTCTCTCCTTCATACTCTATCTGAACAATAAAACAGAAATATGTCCTCGGGTAAGGATAAAAAAAAAAAAGAAAGGCAAAGGTAGCCATCTTTCCAAGAAAGAGAGAGGAGCAAAATCATGATGCAATAAGGGGAAACAGCTTTTTTCTCCCTGTGAAATGTTCTGGAAATGTACTGGAAGTCCTTCCTAATGCAATAAGTTAAGAAATGGAAATAGCCTGGCTCAGTGGATGAGCATCATCCCAGGCTCGATCCCCAGTCGGGGGGGATGTGTGTGTGCAGGAGGCAGCTGATGGAGTTTCTCTCTCACATCGATGTTTCTCTCTCTCTCTCCCTTCCTCTCTCTCTAAAAAAAAAAAAAAAATCAATAAAAACATATCTAAAAAAATAGAAACTGATTCTAAAGTTTATATGGAGAGGCAAACACACAGAAATAGGCAACATATTAAAAGAGAACAGTTTGATGGCTGACACTATCCTACTTCAAGATTATAAATCTATAGTAATCAAGACAGACAAATAGATCAATGGAACAGAATAGAGAGCCCAGAAATATAGCCACATAAATACAGTCAACTGATTTTTTTTTTTTAATCCTCACCCGAGGACATTTTTCCATTTTTTGTTCAGATAGAGTGGGAGGGAGAGAGAGAGAAAGAGAAATATCGACATGAAAGGGACACATCGAGTGGTTGCCACCTACACAACCCAACCAGGGCTGGGGATAAACTGCAACCGAGGTATGTGTCCTTAGCGGAAACCGAACCCAGCTCTCTCTGGACTACAGGCCGACGCTCTAACCGCTGAGCCAAATCGGCCAGGGCCAGTCAACTGATCTTTGACAAAGAGGCAAAGGCAATTCACTGGAGCAAATAGTTTCTTCAAAAAATGGTGCTGGAACAGCTGGACATCCACATTTTTAAAAATGGATCTAGATACAGCCTTTACACCCTTCACAAAAAATACTCAAATGCAAAACTATAAAACTCCTAGAAGATAACAAGGAGGAAAACCTAGATGACCTTGGATATGATGATGACCTTTGTAGATACAACACCAAAGACATAATCTATGAAAACAAATAATTGATAAGCTGGAACTCACTAAAATTAAAAACTTCTGCTCTGTTAAGGACAGTATCAACAGAATTAGAAGACAAGCCAGCCTGAAAGAAAATAATTGCAAAAGACCTATCTGATAAAGAACTTATCCAAAATATAAAAAGAACTCTTATAACTCAAGAACAAAAAATCCCAATTAAAAAATGGACCAAGGCCCTGGCCAGTTTGGCTCAGCGGTTGGAGCGTCGGCCTGCGGTACAGAGAGACCCGGGTTTGGTTCCCGCTAAGGGCACGTACCTCGGTTGCAGTTTGTCCCCGGCCCTGGTTGGTCGTGAGGGTGGCAGCTACTCGATGTGTCCCTTCACATCGATGTTTCTCTCTCTCTCTCTTCCTCTCTCTCCCTCCCGCTCTATCTGAACAAAAAATGGAAAAATGTCCTCGGGTGAGGATAAAAAAAAAAAAAAAAAAAGGACCAAGGCCCTTGCCAGCATGGCTGTGGTTAGAGTGTTAGCTCTAGCACAGAAGGGTTACAGATTCAGTCCTCAGTCAAGGGCATGTACCTGGGTTGCAGGTTCAATCCCATGTGCAAGAGGCAACCAATCGATGTGTCTTTCTCTGTCCTCTCTCTCCCACTTCACCTCTCCACTTTCTCTAAAAATCAATAGGAAAAAAAATGGAACAAATACCTTAACAAACACCTCACCAAAGAAGACATACAGGTCATGGCCAGTTTGGCTCAATGGTTAGAGTGTCGGCCCGCGGACCAGAGAGCTCTGGGTTTGGTTCCCGTAAGGCACGTACCTCGGTTACAGTTTGTCCCTGGTCCTGGTTAGGATCATGTGGGTAGTAGCCAGTCAATGTGTCTCTCTCACACTGTTTCTCTTTTCCTCCCTCCCACTCTATCTGAAGATAAATGCAAAAAAAAAGAAAAAAAGAAAAAGTCCTTGGGTAAGGATAAAAAAAAGGAAGACACACAGGCCCAGCCAGTCTCAGTGGTTGAGCATCAACCCATGCACCAAGAGGTCGCCAGTTCGATTTCTGGTCAGAGAACATGCCCAGGTTGTGGGCCCAACCCCCAGTGCGGGGAATGCAGGAGGCAACCAATCGATGTTCTCTCATTGATGTTTCTATCTCTCTCTCCCTCTCCCTTCCTCTCTCTCTAAAATCAATAAAGAAAAAAAATTTAAAAATTAAAAAGAAGACATACAAAAGGCAAATAAATATATGAAAAGATGCTCCACATCATGTCATCAGGGAAATGCAAATTAAGACAGTAAGATATCACTACACGCCTATTAGAATAAACAAAGTCCAAAAGTGACAGTACCAAAAGCTAGGGAAGGTATGAAGCAAAAGGAACTCTCAGACATTGCTGATGAGAATGCAAAATGGTACAGCCATTTTGGTAGACAGTTTGGCAGTTTCTTACAAAACTAAGCATATTCTTACCATATGATCTAGCAATTACAGTCCTTATTATTTACCCAAAGGATCTGAAA